TGGGAGTAAAGGCAGGATCTGGACGTTTCGGGTGCCTCGCCTTACGCAGGAATCTTTGGTTCTCAAGCGGGTTTTATGAGTGTGTGGTCCGTGCACGTTTAGAGTGGTAGGGTAGAGTCGTTAGCTCGCTGCGCTACGACCCCGGCGACCCGAGTTCTATTCCCACTCGCAGCCGACACCAGTGCCAATTATCTGAACCGGTCCTGGTCCTCCCCTAGGTCGACTCAGCTTCAAATTAGTACCTGGTGCGGTGTGTAAGCATTGCCGCTAGGGAGAGACAAAGGCGACCGGGCCTGGTTGCTGGCCACCCACCCCTTCGTGTGCCGTGCCGGCCTTAATAGCGGCTATTCGCTAACAGCACTTGCCCCAACAGTCTGTAAAAGGCTATACGGGGGGTCTTTGTCTTTGTTTTGTAGAGGGGTGGTGATCACTGCTTGGTCATGGACGCACGCAAGGCCGTGAGCAAGCCGAGCTCTGGCTCGCTCGTCTATTACTACGACATTCTGGCCATGCTGCTCATTTACGTGCTGTGGTTGGCAGCAGTCATTCTCCTCTTCTAGCCCCAGCCACCACCAAGCAGCACCACCGCGGAATGGCAGCCACCACCAGCAGGTGAGACACCAGCCGTGCGTGCGTGTGTGTTGCGTGGAGCGGTGGCGCAGTGGTTGGCTGTAACCTCGCAACCCGAGTTCGATTCCCGCTCGTGAGCAATAACGGTGGCGAAATATTTGAACCGGTGTCTTGGCATCTCTTGGGTCGATTTAGCCTTTAAGGAGTACATGGTGCAGTGTGTAAATATCAGCGTTGGGGGATACAAAGGTGCTCAGATGTAGCTCTGGCTTCGTGGATATTCATCTGTGTAATGATGCCCTTGATATTGTGAAGTATGGTCAACATAATCCTTGCGACCCGCACGGCGTGGGGAGTCCTTGGTCCACCAGTTGATCGATTGACACAGCGGCTGTCAACGAGGAGGACAACGGTGGGAGTGAGGTGTGCAGCGGCATCCCGATACGGTAGCCGAACGAGGAACGTGTTGGAGGTGCGATCAAGCCAAGACATGAAGATCTACGGAGAGAAGATGTGTTGAAGAGTCAGATGCGGCACGGTGACAGAGAGAGGAGATGTCGACAAGATGTGGAGGTGTTGGATAGACGGCTTCCACGGCTGCCCACATCCAGGCCTGCGAGCGCCTCGCGCACCGGGCAGGCCACGGCGTGACCCCCCCCGACCCAGGCGCTTGCGGTCCGGTCCTCAAGGCTCCCGAGTCCTCCGTCCAGTGCGCTCGAGAGGACAGTCCTCCCTGATCCTCCGCAACGTGCCGCGCAGTCCACACCGTTCCTCGGTTGCCGTTCGGGCCCGCTGCAAGTGTCCCGTTTCCAAGGCGCAGGCGAGTGACGCCGGACGAGCGCGGACCCCTCGAGGTGGACGACGGTGGGCGGCGCGAGACCGACCGGCCAGCGGGGAGCGTGAGGTCGACTTGGCGGGCTTGAGGTCGGTGGGGGTGACGAGATGGTGGAACTTGCTCCGGGCGAGGTGTCGAGTCTGTTGTCCTTCTCCCCCGCACCTCCGATTAGCACGGTTGGCGACGGTAAAGAAGTTCAACGTACATTCATACAACATGCAGACTTCAGGTAAGGGGCAGGAATATCACCGTGGAGCTGCTAATGGCGATGGGGTGCGGCGAATAGTCCCGTGGTGCCGCAGGCGTGAGAGCCGAGCGAGCGAAGGGGGCGCGGAGGCGGGCGTCGAAGTGGTCGGACCCCTCGCTGGCTCCACGGGTCGTGGGCGGGCGGCGGCGCTGCTGGAGCCGGCGCCAACTCTGCTGCGACGCGCCTGCGGTGTCGGCGCGTCGCGCTCCCCGGGTCGCCACGGCGTGCCACTTGGAGCAGTGGTGTGCACAGCTCCAAGTGGCACGGTGTGCACTGCCTGTGACACACAAGGATCCTCCTGGCTTCTCTCTGTCGCAAACCGCCAGCGGTCACGGGGCTCCTGTGGTGCCGCGCAGGCCTCGCTCTGTCGACCGCACATTTCACTTGCCTGCTGCCAGTGGTTCGTCGATTGGCAAAGTCGCGTGTGGCGGCGTACGCCCACCGTTTCCAAGGCGTGGAAGAGTAGACCAAATACTCTTTTTAGAGCTTCCTACAGTGGAGGCCCTTCCCCCAGCAGTGGCGTCTGGGGCAAGCATGCGATTGCAGGGCCGCACCTTTGCCTTTTAACCAGGAAACGAGGGCAAATGTACCGCACGGGTCACTCGGGCCGCCGAGTCGTATGCAAGTTTCGCGCGTGCCAGTAAAGATTCCACTTTAAACCGTTACCGGATGCTGATTCTGAACACGGTTACTGGTTTACAGGTCACTGTTTAAACAACCCGGATTTGAACCCAGGATCTCAGCAGTGCCGGCTCAACGCTCTGACCTCTGAGCCGCCGCCACCACCTCCTGCCCCCTCCCCCCTCTTCTGTCGTCACTGTTTCCCGTCGGAAGAGAAATGTTCCCCACAGCGTGCGTGGCGATGGCCACACAGGGCCCCCTCTGCGCCGCATGCGCTGCGTAGCAGTTGCACTCCACTCCTGCACGGCTCCACTTGGGGGAAACTACCATGGTATATTCTAGTGGCAGTGAACGTGCAAAAGTTTTTCCTAACTTTGTCGTTCTCATTAAGATTTTGTTTTTCATTGTATTTTGTTTTCCTCGCTCTGCTTTACTGCCGATATGAATATTCCCATTGTTTGTTGTTGTAACGTTCTGACCCACTCCAACTGGACATCTGTGAAAAAGAGCTTCATAGCTCATCGTATTCCTGCAGGATAAATACACATTCTGATCCTTATGGAGATTACTTAAAGTGTTCTGCAGCAGCTGTTCACACGACACTGCCGTCTCTGCAGCCTGACGATACATTACACTCATCACGTGCGTGCTCCCTGTTACACACAAGGCCCTTCAATAAGCAAAAAAATATTACTCTACTCCTCTGGCCTCTCTGTGCTGAGCAGAATGACCATCGCCTGAAACGTCAGCTTTATATATTATTTTTACTTTAAGGCCACATTGTTGATGAATGTGTGGAGTTGTTCTTGTTGATGTGCTTTGTGCATCACTGCCATCGCAGCAGCCTCACGGAACAATGTTTACTTTACAGAAACGATGACGTCATGAACCGCCATGCCGTCCTGCGGGAAATGCTTTGTGTTACTTAACAACGATTGATCGAGCACTTTGCTTACTTTGTATTTTTCCTAAATAAGACGCAATTGTCACTATAGAATGATAACTTGCAAGACGGCGATATGATGAGCGTGGCGCTCATACTGTGCCATGTACCGCAGTATCACCATATCATGGTGCCTGATAGGCGACAGCATTCTGGCTGTGGGCCGGCCTCGCTGATTAAACCACTTGGACCCATGACGCACGTTTGGAGATTTGTTGACCGTCCACAGGTGTTTGATGGATCGGAGAGCTGGACGCTAACTCGGCCAGCTCCAAGAGGAGTTGCTGGCATTTGAGCTCCGTTGTCTGAGACGAATGCTGGGAATTTTTGGCGAGAGAGGAAATGCAACGCGGAAGTCTGAAAGGGAACGTTGCAGGGCAAGTGTTTTTTTTTAAGGAGCGTAAACCATCGCACAAACTCCGGTCATCCTCACAGCAGCTTTTGGCGAGCCATCGAAGAAAGACCGCATTGCGCACTTCCAGATGCGCTTCTGCAGCCATCTGGAACGCTCCTGCGATAGGACGCCACGAGAGCTATGCTCTTCAGTCTAGATTGAAAACTGATTTTTGCATTTAGTTTGTCCTTTACCCGGCGCCTGCAATTAGTACGGTTGGCTACGTACGGTGAAAAAGAAGTTCAACGTACAATACGTGGGACGTGTGAGCAAGGTGGAGGAAGGTCGTGAGAGGCATCGGAGTGGTCTCCACGAGTGCGGCGGCCAACGGGAAGACCCCAGTCCAGATTGTGGCGATGCTGGGCAGGGCTTGAAGGTCGTTGTGCATCCACGGCACCGCGGCCACGGGATCGGGCGGAGGGTGGGGCACGTCGGTGGCATCGTCGGTTCGCGCCACGACCACGTCTCCTTCCTGATCCCGCCGTGACTCCCACCATTACTTTAATAGGAGTAGTTGGGCTGCCATGAATGTCCGCACGACAATAAGTCGTCACCTCGTTGAGCTATCATTGTGTGGCCAGGCCGCTTCTGTAAAAGAGCTATATAGCTCGGTGGCGCCTTACCTGGTAGAATAAAACATATATTTTTATTTCCTCGTCTCGACCACCCCACCCCCTCCCCGTGGCTGAAAACAGCTTAATATAGAGAGGTCCACAGAGCTTGGCCAACTGTTGATGCCAGCTCCTCACTGCCTGGCTGCTGCTGCTGCTGCTGCCTTCCCGCTTGTCCGTGGTCCCTCCTCGTGCCTCTGGTTCATCCTCTCCCTTCGAGAGCAAGTGGGGAAGAAAAAAAACAGACAACAGCTAAAAGGATGGAAGAAAAACTGTTTTCGTTCTGCACGATTCATCTTTGTAACGCGTAAACCGCCCGGTACACTGCTGATGTGGAGCGCTGGGTAACCTCTAAATTACTCTTTGGTTATATTGGGTAAAGTCACGTAGGTGAAAATAAAATAACAAAAAATCAGGACGTTTCGGCCACAACACAAGCGGCCTTCATCAGGTGAAGGGACGAGACTGTCTGGAGGACAGCGCTGTCCTCCAGACAGTCTCGACGTTTCGGCCACAACACAAGCGGCCTTCATCAGGTGAAGGGACGAGACTGTCTGGAGGACAGCGCTGGCCGAAACGTCGTGATTTTTTGTTATTTTATTTTCACCTACGTGACTTTACCCAATAGAACCAAAGAGTATGGATCCTAGCAGTCACGAACGCTTTAAATCTAGAATTAACCTCTAAATTATCTTAAATGTTTTGGAGAAACTCGCCCCCATTGTTTCAACTTGATGCGTCTCCCACCCCCGTCCCCGTGCCACGGCCGGGTGGCGCAGGCCTGCCTCTGCTGTGGTTCCTGCTGGTGCTGCCGCCATCGCTGCCCTGGGGCCGGCTCCACACGCCCTGGCTGGCCGCCGCGCACTGCCTGGCGTGCGCGTGCCCGCCGCTCGGCAGCGTCTTCTACCACCTCTTCATGAACCACACGGGGGGCCCGGCCGTCTACCGGCGCCTGCTCTGCCTCGACATGTGCGGCATCTGCGCCATCACGTCGCTTGGTACGCTCGCGCGCGTTAAACCGATGGCCGCGGCGAGGGTTTTTCTCGATGTGGGGTCCCCGCGTGCGGAAATATTTTCTGATTCGCTGGCCTAGACGGATGTTGGCTGAAATGCTCATTAATGAAAATAACTTATCAGTCCCGAGGCTCCCGCAAGGGCGCGCAGGAGGGCCTGTGGCACAGTTTGAGGCCAGCTATCATAGAGTGCGGCGGTCGTGTCACTACGCTTCTCTGCCGTGAGGACAGAACAATGTCTTTAAAAACAACGGCGCTACACCTCTCTAAGGAAACTTAACGCCAAGCCACTCGCACGTTCCGAGATTCAGCAGTGAACGGGACCCCCCACCCTGCAACTTGCAGCACGTCCTGGAATGGGAGAGGGTTAACTGGCTGAAAACAGCTTAATATGGACAGCACCGCAGAGCTTTGCCAACTGTTGGCACCGGCTCCTCACTGCCTGGCTGCTGCTGCCGCCTTCCCACTTGTCTGTGGGCCCTCCTCGTGCCTCTGGTTGTAACGCATAAACGGCCCAGTACGCTGCTGATGTGCTGCACAGGGCAACCTGTAAACCATCCGCAACTCGCCCCCATTGTTTCAATTTCCACCCTGGGAGAATGAAAATCCACGGTGCCAAAAATATGCACCTCCCTTAACTGTGTGTGTGTACGTGGGTGAACGCACCGCTTGGTTTACATTCCCACGTCACCATGGCAACACCACCCAAGGCACCTGGGTCTGTCCCGTGACCACCTGCCAGCGTGGCCTCAAGGTGCCCCTAGCTTGGCACGAGCCGTGGTGACATTACCGCCAAGGTGGCGAGATGTTAACCACCTCACCTGGTATACAGGAGCACGTGGGTTCGATCCCGACTCTGAGGCCTATATTCTATAATTTGTGGCCAGGTCGCGTCTGAAAATCGTTGAGTTTACTCGGTGTTGAACAGCGGTTGTTGTTTTACATGGTTGAGAGACTGAGACGAGTGATGCTGTGTCCACCCTTGTGCCCCTCGCCCTCCTCTCTTGCAGGAGCGCTCTCCATCATCTACTGCTCCTTTCTGTGCCGCCCCGTGCTGCAGACGCTCGGCATGCTGGGATACTCGGTGTTGTCGCTGATCGCCCTGCACCGGGCCGTGTCGGCCTCCACCAACAACGCGCGCCTGCGAGCGTTCGGCTGGCAGGCCGCCTTCCGCATGGCCTGCTACACGTGCCGCTGGGCTGGCCTGGCCACCACCTCGCTCGGAGGTGCGCTTCACGTTGATGAGCGCCCTTCGGCCGGAACGCTTTTGACGTTCGTGTTGAAAGCGGTTACCCACGAGCTCTCTCGTCCGTGCGTCTTCAGAGTGAACAAACTCGAACTTGAAGTTGCGTTGCTGTGAGAGGGATTTACACGCATTGAAAACCGGACAAAATTCGATGAAAGGTTTGCCCCAAAGCTTGTTGACGTAAAGGGGGGGGGAGCCCCCCTTGGCATCCCTGCCGCTCGAGTCGCCCCCTCCTGGGCAGATCCGCTACGCGAGCTCGGGAGTCTCATCGGGGCCTTCGGATCCACCGTGTGAGCGTCGTGAACGCTCATTAAATACCTACGAGGACAAATCATATGCTGGGAAAGCGTAACCGGTTCCATCTCAAGCGGCTGTGTTTGCCTGAATGTGTACGCAGCATTGGCCCTTTTGTCAGTTCAATGCTGGATGAGGGCCACTGGCTATGTGACCATACTTCACCACGCTGGTCAATTTGGGTTGGTGAAGGCTACGGAGCTTGCACGTGGAAGTGCGGACGTGCCGCACAGCAGTGTCCCGACTGCGCCGCCCTCTGCCGACCGCCACCCCGCCTACGTCACGCTGGCGCGTGCTGCTGATCGCCCATCCAAGCACTGTCCTGGCTCAAACCCTCGCTTAGCTTCTCGCTCTGGTGGGACCGGGCGTATACCGGGTGATTTGGGTGCCACGGTGGCTAGGAGATGTTAACTACCTCGCCCGGTATACAAGAAGTTGTGGGTTCGAGCTCGACCCTGACACCTGTTGTATATTTGTAGTTTGCATGTTCTCCCCATGGTCGTGTGGATTTTTCTTCAGGTCCTGAGGTTTTTTTCCTCCATTTAGAATCAACGTCACGCGTTTAGAGTATTGTGGCTGCAATAAATTTCCACATGACGATGAACCACTTGGTTGAGCTATCATTTGCCGCCGCCAGGTCGCTTCTGAAAACGCGCCATAGAGCTCAGTGGGCCTTGATGTGTAAGCGCCAGTTAATGTGTGCTCTCTCTTTGTCTCTGTTTATATCTCTTTCTGTGTCTCTCTGTCTGCCCGTCCCGCACGTGGTCCAGCGGTGGCCGGGCTGGCGGCGTCCCCCGATGCCGGCGCCGCCGCCGCCGTGGCCGACCCGTCCCTGCGCCACTACGTGCTCATGGACCTCGTGGCGATGGCTGGCGGCGCCATCAACGTGAGCCGCGTGCCGGAGCGCTGGCTGCCCGGGCGCTTTGACTACTGGTTCAACTCTCACCAGATCATGCACGTCATGGTGGTGCTCAGCATCCTGCACCTGCACTGGGGCGTCGTGCCTGACCTGCTGCGCGCAAGCGACATGCCCTGCCCCTCCTGACGCGCGGTGCTCCCTTGGTCCGTCTTTTTAAAAACTAAAAAACTAAATCAATAAATTTGTACTATGTTGTGTTGATGCACCGGACTCCTGGTCACCAGCACCGCCGTGCGCGCGTGCTGTCAGGGAGGTTTATTTATTTGCTTGTCGACTAAATAACTCTGAACGCGCCCCCCCCCCCCCCCCCCCCCCGCCAGAACTCCGAAGCCAAGTAGGGTAGAGCCCGGACGGTGCGCTTGCTGCGTGGGCGACCGCCGTCATCGCATGGGCAGCTGCTGCCGCTGTAGATGTAGCTGCTGTAGCTGCTGCTGTAGCTGCTGCTGTAGCTGCCACTAGCTGCTGTAGCTGCTGCTGTCAGTCTACGTGGTCAGCAGCAAAGAGCAGCGCAGCAGCAAAACCCATTGCTGCTGCGCTGCTCTTCAGCGCTGTGGCTCCGGCGACGTCTGCGCTATCCGCCGTCACCAAGCCGCACCGACCAAAGTGGTGGAAGTACGGCCAGGCAGTCTCCGCGACCCATGCAACGGTGAATTGACGAAAGGGCTGCACTCGCCCCCCACTGCGTTTTGCAGGGCCGCCGGGTGTCGGTAAAAACTTTTCTCGTGATTGGCCGCGGTGAAACGGAACGCGGCCGTCGGAGGTGACCCCACCGCCGCTCCCAGGGATCGCAGCGTGGCACGATCGGCTCGGGGGTGGGGGAGGGGGGGGGCTGGCGCGGGGGACGCTTCGCGGGGCCCCACCTCCATCCGAGTTCCCTTCCCCTTCGCAGCCCCCTGCGATGGGCAGTGGGCGCTGGTGCAGTTGCACCGCCTGCGCCGCTCGACGACTCGCCGAGCGTGCGTGCGGCCGAGCGTTTGCGCGGCCGGGGTGGTGCTTGTGGGAGTCTGACCGCGGTAATGTTTTCTACACCGCGCGACCATTCGTTTTTCCCCCCCTTTTTGCATCGTTTTTCTACAATGCCGTGTCGCAGCTGGAATGAACACGTCGCGAGCTTTTGAACACGTCGCGCGCTTTTGAACAGCGGCGATTATTTCTTCGTATACGTGTTGGGCAGTTTGTGCCGAGTGTTCCATCTCTTGAGCTCATGCAATCCGCCGTGGAAGTATTACTCGAGTGGTGCGTGTTTTAAACTTTGCGTCGTACGGTGGTTCAACGCCTCCTCGTGGAGGTCCCCCAACCCGGTGTGTGATGTTCAGAATCGGAATCGTTATTTTCAGCTGGAAGAATCCGATGAGCTCTGAGAACTCTTTTTCCACAGGTGCCTAGGAGGGGCACGGGGTCAGAAAGGTACAACAACACGATGCCGGCGGTGTGATGGCGAGCCAGCGCGCTGGATTTGCAATCCGCAGGCCACCGGTTTGATTCCATCTTCCCCTCGTGGGGGCCCCTTACACCAGCGGTGGCGTGAGCAGGAAATTGCAGGGCTGTGCTTTTTTTTTGTCCTCGACCACGATGTGGGTCAAAGGAAAAAGGGGACCTCTGCACCAAAGGGCTTCCAAGAGAAACAATTGGAATAAAATGTTGGGTGATTTTGTTTTATCGCGGACATTAAAGCAAAGCGTGATAACGAATAGGGTCGACTAGTCGCTGTGCAGATTGTAGCCGTCGCGATGTCCAGTTCGGCCACCGCTAAACATTGCAACCTTTACCCACGAGAGAATCTTCACGGAGTCGAAACTGCTTCCAGGAATACCTTTAGCTTGAGATGTTTGACTAATTTTTTTACATTAAAATCATAGCATGAAACCATATTGTTTGGCGTAAACCCACGTGCGTTTATAATGTGTGGTATGTTACTTTGTTTACCGCTGAGTGTCGCAGTTTAATTTAAAATTCAGAAATTGGCCATTTTATAATTCGCTATCGTGGTTTCACCGAAATGATGCCAATGCATTTACAACATTTGACATCTCAAACAAATAACGTGAAAGGTTAGTTAACATGCTCCCAATTGTAGTTGCAATGAAGGAGATGTTTTGATATAATATTGTTCTTGCAGTATTCTCAAATTGTTAAACCAAAAACAGCGGGAGATTGAATACGCCCTTTCCATAGACATACAAACCGAGACGGCATGGTACGACGGGTTGTTTTCCACCGGCTATTTTCCCTGTCGTGCCGGAAGCAAAAACCCTGACACCCCGGCCTCACCCGACGTCGGAATCTGGCTCGGGGCCAAGCAGGGCCAGGGATGGAGGTTGATGACACTCTTAGTTTTTGTGAGGTAATTCGGTACGGAACTCGGACGCGGTGTGACCGCATCGTCGACCTGCGTCGAGACATTGTGCGCGCGTGATCATCGGCGGCACGGTTTGGGGTTCTGCAGTGGAAAAACAACGTGGGGCTTCCCCAAGCTGGGGCCGGCTCAGTACGGCTCGGTTGTACATTGGAAAAGCAGTCCAATAGAATTCCAGCATACAACCTGGGGTGCTTCTTGTGGTCTTTACACTTTTGTTTGTTGTATTTTAATTTCCCCGTGGAGTTGATGGGATTTGTTTTAATCGGCCTCCCGGACGGACACCGCCACGGTGATTGTGAACGCGTTCCGCAAAACTCGCCGACAGGTTGGGGAGCCGCCTGCTCCAGGTGCTGAATCTGACCTTCAGAGACCCCTTCTGGCAGGGAGCCACACAATGAGACACGCCACACCTCGGTCGCGTCTGTGACTGCAAGGAGGCCCCCTGCAGTGACATCCAGAGACTGGGTGTGCTCACATTGGTGCCAGTCCGAAAATACCCCCCCCCCCTTTCTAGTGCCAGATTAGTACGGCGGAAATTATTGCGGTGACGGAAAAATATCGTTGACGGGCTGTTTGGAAACGGTCGGCCCTATGTGGCCATGGTCCACGTGGTATAAATCGACGGGTGGAGGGCCTTGTGGGGCGCCTTACGTGGGGGGCCTTACGGGGGGCCTTGCAGAGGCCTTGCGTTCCCCTCCGCTGCTCTGCAGGGCAGAGCAGTGTTTTGAAATACATGCTAACATCATTTGTCAGCTATGATCAATCCACTGCTGGATGAAGGCCTCCCCAAGCCGACGCCATTTGTCAGGGTCCTGTGGTGTAGCGATCTCTCCAGCAGCTGCGTCCATCTCATCTCCTCTGGACGCATCATCTCAAGGTCGCCGCCTTTGCCTGCCACTCCGCTCTCAGTCTTGACCGTCGGCGGTCATCCCGCTCGTGACGCTTCCTGACCAAGCCCACTGAGCAGTCGATCGGACGTCTCTCCCACTGGCGCGTGCTGCACTTTACTGAACCTGTTAAGCCGAACGGTACCCGATGCAGGATTTCTGCTGTGAGTCACGTGGCGTAGAACAATGTCGTTTTCCACGTTGCTCCGGTTTATATGTTGAACTTCTTTGGCGCCGTACGTAGCCAACAGTGGGAATCGGAGGTGCGGGGGAAGGATAAACTAAACACGAAAGCAATTTTAAAGAAATGAGTTTTAAATCCAGATTTGAATGTGCACAGCTCCAGTGGCTTCCTAATTCCTGAAGGAAGAGCGTTCCAGACGGCCGCAGGAGCGCATTGGAAAGCGCGCGATGCGGTGGACCGTCTGGAACGCGTGCCGCGACACACGAGGAGCCCGCGGTGGCGGCAGCAGCGGCTAGCGGGTGGGACAACGTTTGGCTTGGGATGCCGTGCGGGCATCGTAACAGTGCGAGGAAGCCGGGGCGCGCGGGGAAGTGTTCTCCCTCTTCAACTCCGGCTGCACGCAGCCGTGGAAACTGCTTTGGGCGCGTTGGGGGTTGCCCCCCCGTGAGACGAACCCCCCAGGGATGTAATTGAGGTTTTTCTCCCTGCTCTGCCATGGTCATTAAAATCCGTCACATGCCCAAAGCGATCGCCCCATGGCGCTGTCGCAACGTCACGAACGGTGCACCTCGACTGAAGTCATCGACATGCCGCAGGGCTGAACTCCGTCTATGGCATTAACTCGGTGGGCAGCAGCAGACGGCGGTGCAGCCAAGTCGTTAATTGCACTACGCTTCTATGCTCCCCCACGTCTATTATTCCCACCTTCAACCCATAAGAACCGTCATGGTGATGTATGGTCAAATAGCCCCCCACCAACGACCCGCTGAGTTGTGGGAAGGCTCTCATCCAGCAGTGGATTGACACGGGTGGGGGATGGTGGTGGGGGGGGGGCTGTGTGCACGAGGAGGGGGATGGTGGCGGCACTGGCGAGTCGGCGTGCGCTGTGCCGAGGCGCGCGCGCGCTTTTGAGCCCTCGGAACGTTGAGTTGTCTTGAAATTGAATACAAAAATAACGCTTTCATTTTACACGGCGTCATTTGTGCTAAAAGCATCCCATAACGCTGTACATTAATTATATGAGGACCAAATCCCACGTACAGCCACTAACAAGCAAATGAAAACACTACAAGGACGGAAATTTAACAAAAAAAATAATAAAGGAGTGGCACCAAAACAAAACAAAAATTAAGTGATCAACAACAGCGAATTGAGTCCACGAGGTATGCGACTACGACCACACATCCCAGACCACACTCCCAACTTCCCAACCAAGCCAGGAAACCCTCACAGGAGGTGGCGAACCAACCAGTTCTGGCTCATTCATTCCAATCGCTCCAATGTCCACAAAGCGATTACCGATTTTTCAGCGTATGCCCCGGATGAATGAAAAGGGCCTCTAGTTCAGATTTGAATGATACTGTGATGGAGTCGATTTGTCGGGTGTGGAGTGGGAGGGTACTCCAGACTGCAGGGGCTACCGCCTGACGAGACTCGTTCACCCAATGCGTTCGAGTCTTGTTTTTGGGGTGGAGAGCAGATCTGACGACGATGAACGGGGAACCCGGGGAAGGGAGTAAACTGAAATCGGAGGGGAGAGGTGGGCCCGTGAATAATTTTGCAAACGGCGAGTGCACTCTTGAAGGGCGATTCTGAACTGAGCAGGGTGCCAGTGGAGGGATCGTCAAGTGGGTTGTAATATGTTGACGCTTCCAGGCATGATGAGTGAGTGAGTCCTCTTGCGGCTGCGTTGTGAACGCGCTGCTCACGTTGGATGAGAGCCGAAGCGAGGCCAAATAACAGAGGAATTTAGTTCACCAAGTCTTTAAAAGTTAGAAAAAAAGTATCTGGTAGCTTACTTTGAGATCTAGTTAGTAACAGTGGTGGTTGTGGGCACGACGTATCTTGGTAAACACCACGTGCTATATATATCCAGCCGAACACAGTCGCACTTCGGGAGAAGCTGACAAGCTCCGTTCACAAAACGGCTGTCCGTCAACGCGTCAGGAGTCTTGGTTTGTGGTGCGCAGTCTGAATAGGCCGGGGCGACTCGTCGTGACGGTGGTCTACGAGCGTCTTTCATTCGTTTGAATAAAGTGCAAGGCATCAAATGGAATGCTCGCGGTGTCTGCTTACCGGTTACCCCAGGGTTATTCCTGAAACGTCGGAACTCTTGGGTCCACACCGCCGGCGAGCCGCGCTCACGGGAGCGGGCGGGGGGTTGCTGCTTGTGGCTGTCGACGGGCGACGGAACGGCCCGCAGAAGCCCCCCCCCACCCCCCCCGTGGGCGAGGTGGCCGAGTCCGCTCGCTCGCCTCGCTCTTGTCTGTCCTTCGTTTTTAATTTACCGCGGTCAATTATTGCGCTTGCGTAAACGCAGTTTCGAGTAGAAACCAGAATAACTTCCCGTCTTATCGCGCAGAGCATCGCGTTGCAATGTCCGGAGGCGGCCTTGAAGAGATGGCACCACGGAGCTTGTGAAGTTACTGGCAGAAGCCCTCGTCTCTGCAGCCCAGCGACCGGCGGTGGATTCCCTGCACATTGCTGAATCAAGCCGAGATTTAAATTGGTTGTTGCTATGTCCCCGCCACGAGAATGTAGAATTTCCACTGTTGGCTCGGGGCCAGGGACGCAACCGCATTGGGAATTGGGGGTGTCCTGGCGAACCATCCCTCCGTAGATTGGCAGGCATAAAAAACGAAGGAATGTTGTTCAAAACGTTGTGGGTGTAGCTTTGCCGTGGGCGCCACGATGACGAGATTTTAACTACCTCGCCTGGTATACAGGAGGTTGTGGGTTCGATTCTGACCCTGACGCCTCCTGTATATTTGGAGTTTGCATGTTCTCTCCGTGGTCGCGTGGATTTTTCTCCGGGTCCTCTAGAAAAACGCGTTTAGAGTATTTGGCTGCTATAAATTTCCACGTGATAATCCACTTCCGGTAGGCTATGATTTGTGGAAACCAGGTCGCTTCTGGAAAAGAGCTACCTAGTTCGGTGAGCCTTACCTGGTAAAATAAAAAAAATAGTTTAAATAGTTCACGACGCTGGTCAGTGCGGGTTTGTGAGCTACGGGCCGGACGCATGTTGTGGGTGTCCGTGCCGCTGATTGCGATGAGAGGAGCGATCGGCGCTCCCTGAGGTGCGGAGACACCAACACCTTGAGCTTCATTTCTGATTTTGGGCTCCTCGGGGGGACCAGTGCCCGGGCCTCGAGGCCGACGCGAGTACATCCTTGGCCTGAGCGTCACCTCGGCCCGAGAGGTCGGCTTTGGAGGCACCCGATCTCGACGCTGAAATTGGCCTCGAGGAGCCGGCCCTCGACCGACCTTCACAACGGCCTCGACCTTTGGCCTGCCGAGTTCCCGGCCACCGAAACGTTTTTGGGAGGACTGGGACAATATGGCCAGATGGTGCCTCCTCGGCCTTTTTTGTGTCCCCAGTTTTAACTGAAATGAGATCGTCAAATTATCAACGTTTGGGAAGCTGGTTCAATTACGGATGGCTGGTCGCTCGAATTTTAACTCAGGATCCCAGCAGTGCCCCTCAGAGATTCATGATGGCCTTTGTGAGCCTCCTTGGCCACCACTTTGCTACCGGACGTTTTGATATAAACGCGCGCGATCGCTTTGAAGCTGGAGGAATGTCAAAGCCACGCGGCTTGTGTCGCGCGATCCAAGAACCCCCCCCCCCCCACTTGTCTCATCATGTAAAGCGTGAGGTGGTGGGGGGGGGGCGAGGGGGTAACGTGCGCTCCACACAACTGAAACATCTTACCAGCAACGCGGAGCATTTCTCCCATGCAATGATAGGAATATGCACACGGCTTTACTTGTACAATAATGGTCCTGTACATTTGTAGAGCGCGATGTCGTCCAGGTGGTGGAGCGGAGCGTGACGCGGTGGTGTTCTATTGTGACGTCACGCTACCGCTACATAGATCGTGACGTATGAACACGCGATATGTGTTGAAGTTAACAGGTAAAGGTGCAACCTTGAAATTGCACTCAAGCGACCGCTAGCGAAAGGGTCTGCATTACAGTCGGAGCTTTAGCGGGTGTTTTTGGCCTACTCTTCCACTTTTCAGTTTGAGGGGCGCCACGGTGGCGAGATGTTAACGACCTCGCCTGATATATAGGAAGTCGTGGGTTCGATTCCGACCCTGAGGCCTGTATATTTGGAGTTTGCATGTTCTCGTGGCCACGTGGATATTTCTCCGAATCAACTTGCGTTTAGAATATATTTGACTGCTATAAATGTCCACTTAATAATCCACTTGGTTGAACTCTTATTTGTGGCCAGTTCGCTTCTGAAAACACAGCTATACAGTGAGGGAAAAAAGTATTTGATCCCCTGCTGATTTTGTACGTTTGCCCACTGACAAAGAAATGATCAGTCTATAATTTTAATGGTAGGTTTATTTGAACAGTGAGAGACAGAATAACAACAACAAAATCCAGAAAAACGCATGTCAAAAATGTTATAAATTGATTTGCATTTTAATGAGGGAAATAAGTATTTTACCCCCTCTCAATCAGAAAGATTTCTGGCTCCCAGGTGTCTTTTATACAGGTAACGAGCTGAGATTAGGAGCACACTCTTAAAGGGAGTGCTCCTAATCTCAGCTATTTACCTGTATAAAAGACACCTGTCCACAGAAGCAATCAATCAATCAGATTCCAAACTCTCCACCATGGCCAAGACCAAAGAGCTCTCCAAGGATGTCAGGGACAAGATTGTAGACCTACACAAGGCTGTAATGGGCTGCAAGACCATTGCCAAGCAGCTTGGTGACAAGGTGACAACATATTCTTGGTTCTTTCGGTAAAGTCACGTTGAAGGGAAACAATAAAATAATAATATATATAAAACAAAAGCTTTAAATCAAAATTTAAGGTGACAACAGTTGGTGCGATTATTCGCAAACAAAAGAACTGTCAATCTCCCTCGGCCGGGGGCTCCATGCAAGATCTCACCTCTTGGAGTTGCAATGATCATGAGAACGGTGAGGAATCAGCCCAGAACTACACGGGAGGATCTTGTCAATGATCTCAAGGCAGCTGGGACCATAGTCACCAAGAAAACAATTGGTAACACCCTACGCTGTGAAGCACTGAAATCCTGCAGCGCCCGCAAGGTCCCCCTGCTCAAGAAAGCACATATACATGCCCGTCTGAAGTTTGCCAATGAACATCTGAATGATTCAGAGGACAACTGGGTGAAAGTGTTGTGGTCAGATGAGACAAAAATGGAGCTCTTTGGCATCAACTCAACTCGCCGTGTTTGGAGGAGGAGGAATGCTGCCTATGACCCCAAGAACACCATCCCCACCGTCAAACATGGAGGTGGAAACATGCTTTGGGGGTGTTTTTCTGCTAAGGGGACAGGACAACTTCACTGCATCAAAGGAACGATGGACGGGGCCATGTACCGTCAAATCTTGGGTGAGAACCTCCTTCCCTCAGCCAGGGCATTGAAAATGGGTCATGGATGGGTATTCCAGCATGACAATGACCAAAAACACACGGCCAAGGCAACAAAGGAGTGGCTCAAGAAGAAGCACATTAAGGTCCTGGAGTGGCCTAGCCAGTCTCCAGACCTTAATCCCATAGAAAATCTGTGGATGGAGTTGAAGGTTCGATTTGCCAAACGTCAGCCTCGAAACCGTAATGACTTGGAGAAGATCTGCAAAGAGGAGTGGGACAAAATCCCTCCTGAAATGTGTGCAAACCTGGTGGCCAACTACAAGATATGCCTGACCTATGTGATTGCCAACAAGGGTTTTGCCACCAAGTACTAAGTCATGTTTTGCAGAGGGGTCAATACTTATTTCCCTCATTAAAATGAAAATCAATTTATAACATTTTTGATATGCGTTTTTCTGGATTTTATTGTTGTTATTCTGTCTCTCACTGTTCAAATAAACCTACCATTAAAATTATAGACTTATCATTTCTTTGTTAGTGGGCAAACGTACAAAATCAGCAAAAATCAAATACTTTTTTCCCTCACTGTATAGCTCAGTGGGCCTTACCGGGTACAATTAAAATATATAGCAGTTAAAATTGTTAAGTGAATTGCCAATGAAATGTGCATGACTTTCGTCCGAGACGTGGGTTGTTCAAAGTGTAAAACCTCAGTTCACTTTACAACGTATGTAAATGTTGCTCGAGTTGTCGCCTGGTATTTGTGAGTGGCCTGGGCTCTCAGTAAGTTAAAAGTCCACTGCCAAGAGCGAGCAGCTGTGCCCAAGCTCGGGGTCGAGCGATGATTCCAATCAGCGGATTGTGTCGGAATTTCAACGTGCGTGGAAGGTGTTCTACGGCAAGGGGTTCACGTGACCCTTACAGACACCGGAGGCCGCCGCAACGTTGACCCGCCGCTACAACCAATAAAAAACAACAACACACCTCATTGGTAATCGAATGAAAATCGTAAACTCTGAATCGTGTCGGAGTTGGTTGAGTCGCTGGAGGCGACGGGGACGCGGGGATTGTGGGAACGGTTAGTGACCGACTGTGGTGTGGGAGCACGTGTCGATCGGCCTGAGAGGCTGGAGGCACAGCTGGCAACAGCAGCAGCAACAGCAGAGCATCCAAATTCGAGCCAACCACGTGGCCGACCTCCAACTCAGGATATTTATTTATTCCTGGAGAAATGCGATGAGCTAAGAAGCTCTTTTTCCACAGCTGTCCAGTATTTCACAGATAGTCCACCGTGACCCTGAGGGTAACGGCGTAGGAGGGCGACCTTGGAGGCGATGGCTCTTCTGCATGGAAAAGGCGAAACAGCGTCTCTTGTGCGATTCCTTCTAGCCCCCCCCCTCTACACAGCTATTGACGGATGTGTTGAGTCTCTGCGATGTACGCCCCTGCCGCCACTGCCATATCTGGCTCAAGCGGCGGTGTTGCTGCTGACCTTGGACTCCGAGCGGCTAAAACGACCCCAAACATTGCGGCGATCTTTATGAATGTAGTCAAGAGAATGATTGATTGAAATGCAGCATTTGAAATGGAATGCACTGAATATTGCTGCTACGTGCAGGTTTTGTGGTGGTTGCCGTTCGCACTCCGTGTGATAGAGCAGCACAACCCCGGGCACAACCGAGAGACGGCTGTGCCCCTTGAGTGTTGCTGCAGCCACGGTTGTCGAGCGGCGGCTGTGGCTGCTGCTGTTGTTATTCCTGAAGCCGGCAGTGTATGTAGAACTTCTTTCGCACCGTACGTAGCCAACGGTGCTAATCGAAAGTGCGGGGGAAGGACAACAGCTCTGCCCCCACAGTTAATAGCCCGTGGTAAATCTCGCGTTCCTGAAAGAGAAAGTAGTGGCCCATGTGAATCTTGAATGCAATGCGTAGCTCAGTGTTTTAATGACAACAAACTACCAAGTACTAAACATTACTCTAAATTGCCAAGTTTGAAAATGTGAATTTTGCGCATGCGTTGTGAGCACCAATTTTCAACATCACGAAAACGTGTTGTGAACATTTACAAAGGTCAGCAACCAGAGTTGAATTTGTACTAATTAAAATGTATGTAAAAACATGTTTTTACTGCAATCAAGTTGAAACTGAATAAAGAATGACTGCTACACAAACCACGACTGTGTTGATGTTCGCGTTGTGTTTTAGGTGGCACGGTGGGCAGCACGGTGGGCAGCACGGGTGGTGCACCTGCCAGTTATCTCAGTCATCCTTTTAACACCTGGGTCAGTCCCGTGACCTCCTGCACCTCGCCTGGCACGCCAGTCAACTCAACACCTGGGTCTATCCCGTGATCTCCTCCTGCCAGAAACAAGCCTTGCACGCGTCCCGTCATGGCGCTTTATAGATAATTAAGAATGGTCCAACATATTAATGTAATGGTGGAAATGAAGTGAATGCATCGGCAGTGTGCTTGTTTATTCGCATAGCATACATTCATACGTTACAATCAACAAAGGTAAATCCTACCCCCCCCCCCCATCTCACTCCAACCCAACCCAACCTTGGCTGGACGTACATGCAGTCTAAATCACGCGCAAGCATTGCACAAATGTTAAATTCACCGCATGGGACAAGACGCCTCTGCAAATCCCTCGCTAAATGAATCCCTCTCTCCGCCCCGTGAAGGCCAAGCCCTTTGGCCCTGACCCTTGATCAGAGAATCAGAACTGCTTTGCGGAGATCATGGAAGCAGTGTGGAGGTCAGTCTCAATAAGGGGTTGAATAAGGGTTGGTGTTCGCCCATGTAAATTCTGGAGACTTTCTGAGTTTTCCACCAGACACTAATATAAAACGTCCAAAAACACCGGTATCATACAGTTCAAAAGGGCATCCTGACAAATTATTGCTGAGACGGTGAAAATGTTTCGCTGCTGCCATTATAGATGCATAATACAGTCTGCGTTTGCTGTGCCCACTTCCTTCAGTTTATAATACTTCGAAGATGTATTTTAACAAGTGTGTCAGTTTGTGAATGACGAACACCTCTGTAGGGGCAGTACCGTGAGATGAATATTGACACGTTGCTGATCACCCCTCTCTGTCCGTGTGAAGAAGTACGTCGGACAACCTTGCCAAGAGCGGCTCCCAGCAGCGTTTGCAATCGCAATGTTTTTTTGGAATCAAGGTGATAGTGTACCGTATTTAACCCTGGTTAGGAATCATGAGTAAACCGTACCTCTGATAACCAGCTTATGGATATTTGTATTGACTGGATATTATATTGCATATTTGGATGAATTAGGCAGTGAGAATTTAGAATTGTATATTTTGTGCGGCTAGGGTAATGGGATGAAAAACGTCGCAGACCAAAAACGCTATCGCCACTACGTGAATGGCACTGTACTGGTACAGGGACACGCGTGCAGGTTACATTGGCTGAGTCCCCTGCCAGGCTGCATTATCCGAGCAGTGTTTACAGTCCCAGCTTTCACTTGATGACACCCTGGCGAGAAGCCCATGCGAGCGAATTTTCATCGGGACTGAGAGACGCGTATTGACCCCCATCCCTCTGTATACGCAGAGCACCTGAATAAGACGAAAACATTCATAATAACAATAAATACACTGCCCTCAAGGATTAAACGTAAACACAAAAACGGTGAGATTTTCCGATAATTTCACCGCTTTTTAAATAACGTGCGAAATTTGCGACACGTACTTGGATATAATAACACACACTGGAGAAACGTTACGCAAGAATACCTACGTGAAAATGCAAATTAAAAAGATCGTGCGCATCGATGACACCACCAACTGTGGCACAAATTTTCTTTGGCAAAGCCCCCTCGTGTAGTGTCAGGGAATGGCTGTTTATCAAACGTGAAAGGTGACTTGCATCGGGGGGGAGGGCATCGTTTCTGCAGACATTTTTTGGGAAAAGCGACATTAAAGCAGCAATCGGTAAGAAAATTGCACTAAAAAAACCACCGCACTCCGAAACTATTGCACCACGTTATTCCGTCGAACTTCGCGGAATTAAACCACCTCGATGGAAGGACTTAATCCATAGGACAAAGTACGTTCAACCTAAAATCCCAACACAGCCCTGAAACGCAAGTCATTGCAGACGGCGGACATCATGGAGACGTCACTTGTACAAAAACCACATGCTGCCCAAGCGAAGGAGTTTAGTTAAATTCTGATAGGATCAGCCAAAACAAAGCACGTGGCAGTCTGGGTTCAGGAGGTGGAGCAAATTCTCATCCCAAGAAAAAATCTTTCACCAATTCTCTCCGATTGCGGCACTGGCGTCACATTCTCACGAACCAAGGACGTCATTCGCATCTCCTGCAGAGGAGTGCAACCGTTCGTATTCGAGAACGGCCGACAGAAGCGATTATCACAGAGCTACCTCCGAGATCCCATCAAGTAACCTCTGGTCTCACAGTACCAGTACTTTGCCTCACAGTAAAAGCACGCTGGCTCTGCATATGCGAATAATGTTCACGTCATGATGGCCAAACTAATAATAAAATTAGGTCTCAGAGCTTGCATACAGCCAAATGAAGTGCAGAACCATATTTAATGTCATGTATTTGGTGTGTGTAGTAATTGGTGACCGGACTGAGACCAATAAATTTGTGACTCTTGAGAAGCCAGTTTAGGCAGAGGAAACTGCCTGGATTAGAACTCAGGGTTCTCAGTGCTCTTGACTTCTGAGAAGTGGATTTCTCTAAATAACAGACGTGGGAATATAATTATCATTAGAATTTCTTCTTTACCACAGGCATCGATAAACGATCCATATTGCCGTCTTGTCGCGCTTCGTCATTAGCAGCAGCAACACTGTTCGGTCATCTTGATCACTGTTGTTTTCACAGCCGCTATAAATAACGAGCGGATAACCTAACCAGCGTTCAGCAAATGACTAAGTCTCGCAGACCGACCATTCAGTGAGAGTGAAACAGAAGAGAAGTGCTAATCTCTGTGCCATTTCTCACATAGCCAAGGAAATGGTGACATATGTGAGCAGGAGATATCACGGTAACAACTCCTATCAAAAAATAGTCGACAAAACGGTCAAGGACACCTGGGGGATGATTACATTCAGCAACTGCCGATCAGTGGCTCCTCCATCCAACAAAAAAACCCCACAAAAATAAAAAAGAATAAACACTCTGGGGTCTTGGATGGAGTGAAATGATGGCAAAAAGCAGAAGATCCCTTCCTGTGGTTCCTTTTTGATATATGCAAGAAGGCACGTAGCCAATGACCAATCCACCCTGAATGCTCCAAAGTGAATCACAGGAACGGTCACGGTGGCGGTAAATCGTCTCCCGAACACTGACAGCCAACGGCCGGACAGCGCGGCTCAAGGCACGAATCCGAGCAGGCCTCAGTCTGCGTTTGCGGTGTCCACTTCATTCAGCGCGTCGATGAGGCTGCACGGTTTGAAGGACCTCAGCATCATCTCCTCCTCGTCGTTGTCGTCCGTGTGGTCCCCATTTCCGTCGTGGGCGTTGCTCACGGCATCGGCGCCGCTGCTGTCAAGCCAGTCGCGCTCGCGGGAGGCTCGCGCCGAGGCGCTGGAGAGGCCCGATCCGAAGTGGAGAACCCTTCGCAGCACCGATCCACCCGGGCTGCGTCCCTTGCTCCTCCTCCTCCCCCCCTTATCCTCCTCCTCCTCCTCGTTGGCACACGCAGGCTGCAGGATGAGGCTGATGTTGGGGCTGGCCTGTGCGGCCACTGTTGCTTCAGCCGCACTGAGGCTGGAGACAGGCAAGAGACAGCGGAGGTTCGTGGCCATGCTCCATCTGGACTTACGAGCAACAACGTGTTTACGCGTCTGTCTTAACGGGTCGCTTCCATAACCTGCCAAGTTAAATAAGATAAATACTTGCTGAAGTTTAAAGGTTTAACTGAAGATCAATGATGCTGTGAGTGCTGATGTCACTGTCAATATTATTTTATTGCAGTCCAGTTGTTCAAGATTAAGAGGCAATCACTCCTATAACTACAAGACTCATCCATTCATTATCCACAACATATCTTCCCTCCTAATTACAATGTGTGCTCTTTTAAATCAACCGTCAATCGCTGACCTTATTTATATTCATGAATATACATAATTATATATTACATACTGATTATATTAGTCCATCTCACTCTTAACTATTTGGCTTCTCTAAGTGCGCTATGAAGAAGGACCATTGCCCAGAACGTCACCAATAGTATGCTTTTTATTTTTAAGGCCACACACAGTGTTGTTATTGGCGACTGCGCTGGTCTGTTTCGATATGTAGGTGTCTGTTGCTGGGGGTGAATAAAACTTTAATACTCGGGAGCCACGCTGAGCGGAGTGGTGCCTTACCTGCGGGCGCTGCGGTTGAGCGGCTCGGGCGAGCGGTTGCGCGGGGTGGATGTGGTGGCCACCTGAGTCCGAGGTCTCGTCACGGGCGACGCGCTGGGAATGGGTGCCACAAATCGCGTCGCTCAAGGGAACCAGGGCTGCCACATAGGCTATCGAAGTTATCAATCAACCAATCAATTATTGTGCCACTCAATGAAAGCGATTACAATGGTCTACAATTTTTTAGACGTCGTCTGCTTCAGGGATGAAATGTGCTGTTTGTTATGGATTTTGATGTGCTGAATTCAAATATGATAATTAAAACAACTGATTGACTACTGTTCCCAAGATGTTTAAGTTTATACATTTTACGTCTATGTATATTGTGTAGATAGTAGAGTTTTACTCATAAATTGTAAACCTAGGTCTTTTCATGTGTTTATGGTTGCTTTACATGATAACATGTCACCTGTCCTGTTCATGTAACACTTTAAGAATCAGCAAAAGGGTAACATAAAAAACATCAAAAGGCAAAAAACTATTACGTATATACAAGTACATACTTTAGTCCTTGTATTCATTAAATGGCGCATCTCTTGTCACTGTCCAGCAATAGTCTGCAAACATTAATGGGCTCCATTTGCCCTGATAGCGTTTCTCCATTGTTACAATGTCCTAGTGAAATCGCTTGCTATGCTCGTCGCTCACTTCTCCGCAGTTCAGTTGGAAAAAATAAAGATGAGTGCAAAAAATGTATCTTTAGTGACATGTTGCAACCAAGGCTTTTGTATGCCTTGAGGAGGTTTTCCACCAACTCGCTGTCGTTGTCTGCCTTGTTGTGTCCGAGAAAATGTTGCCACTAACTGGAAGGTTTTCCATGCTGTCTTTTCCTTGCCACGCAGTGCACTGTCAAATGCATCATCTCGAAGAAGTTCACGAATCTTTCATCAGACCCAGCTTGATGTGTAAGGGTAGTAACAAAATCTTCCTTGATGCTGACCACTTTTCCTCCCAGACTCCAATTACTGTCGGAGTGGCCAACCTGTCTTTATGTAGTGGGAATCTCTCGCACGACTATCCCATTCACAGAGAAAATAGCAGTACTTTGTGTATCCAGTCTGCAGACCAAGCAAGAGAGCAACAACCTTCAAATCGCCACAAAGCTGCCACTAATGTTGGTCATAGTTTATGCACCTCAAAGGTTGTTTCATGTTGTCATAGGTTTCCTTCATATGGACTGCATAACCAACTGGAATTGATGGCAAAACATTGCCATTATGAAGCAAAACAGCTTTAAGGCTCATCTTCGATGAATCAATGAACAGTCTCCACTCATCTGGATCATGAACGATGTTGAGAGCTGCCATGATACCATCGATGTTGTTGCAGGCTACAAGATCACCTTCCATTAAGAATAGGACAAAATCCTTTTGACGGTCATGGAACATGGAAACCCTAACATCACCTGCCAGGAGATTCCGCTGCTGCAGTCTGGAGCCCAACAGCTCTGCCTTACTTTCTGGTAGTTCCAAATCCCTAACAAGGTCTTTCAGTTCACATTGTGTTATGATATGGGGTTCAGAGGAGGAGGATGGGAGAAAATCTTGGTCACGTGACCTTGATGGTTCAGGACCACAAGTTTCATCCTTTATCTCGTCTGACTCAAGTGAGAATTATTCTGGTGCATCAGGAACTGGTAGTCCTTCTCCGTGGGGTACTGGGCAATTTTGCAGCCAAAATAAAGGTGATAGGCTATCTTAACCAGTGGTTATACTGCACTTTTGTGATGCAAAAGTCACTTCACCACAAACATAGCAGAAGTTATCTGCTTTGTTCACACAAGTACGAGGCATCTCTGCTCACTTTGGCTAAACAAAAATGTGTCCCTTTGCAAAATCAAACACTGACAGATAAGAGAGCACGACACTGTATGATTTCTAGAGCTTGTATAAGGCAATTTGTTCATCAGAGGGATGTAAGCCTAGTTATGATTGCATCATCCATGACTTCTAGGAATTACATGATGCAATTAACATCATGTATGATGCAATACCAGGTTCAGATTGCATCATTCATTGTTTTGCTCAAAAAGCAAGTACTGTCCAAACCCAGCAATAGAGTTATTCATAGATCCAGTCAAATATGTATTTTAGTCATTTCTGGTTTAAATTGAGATCTCTTCCCTTTATAACTCACTTATCCTCCGCCATTCCCAAATCAAGGGTCGTATATACTGACCCAGTAGCACATCTTGAAAACTAGAGCCAATCAACAATTTTAAACATCATTTTCATTCTCAGTGACCCAGAATTAGTACAGTTGGACGACATTTATTTCGGAAGCATTTTGACTGTAGACCAGTGTTATTAAGCACACGATCTGCATATCATTAGCATAATAAATGGTTCCAGGTGCAAGGCCGATGGCTGGGAGTGGATGACGTCATCATCACTGCCTTTCCCACATCACACCGGGCGAGTTTCCAACATCTTGCTGTAGATTGATAGAAAATGGAAAAATATTATTTATTTATTTTCATAGAATCAATTATTGAAAATATTTGTTTTACTTTTTACTTTAAAAACGTATATTTAATGGGTTAATTGTTCCATCAATAATAATCATAATCTGCTGTGTTTTACAGTCTGCAGTGGCTTCACAGTTGCTATGTATAATCCCTCCCGAGCTGTGATAAATGTTTCGAAATGGGCAAATTTGGACCATGACGCCGGCACACAATGGTATACTTGTTCCGAATGACGTCAGGGAACCTTTACCATCCACTGTGAAGCAGACTGCATGTAATATTTTACGGTTAATGCACCCACAGTAATTAATCAGGGTGGCCGACCAGATGAGAAACTCTGCAACAATTGGCGAACGACCACTGCAACAAGTGGCTAGGCTGTGTTGTCGCCCCACGCAGAGTAACCCGCCTGGTACGGGTGCCCCGATCCAGGACAGTTGCTCAGGGTTTACATGGCTCGCAGGCTGCGCCGCCACGTTAAGACCGTGCCCCAGTGAAGAAGTTTGGACATTTATTCGTGGAAAACTTTTAGGTGGCATGGTTTGTGCAGTGGTAACACCTGTGCTTTACAGCAAAGATGGTTTGTACGTTCTCCCCATGTTCTGCATGGGTTTCCTCCGGGTTCTCGAGTTTCCTTCCATAGCTAAAAGAAATGTAACTGGTAATGGCCAAATGTACCAATGTCAGAAAATTCCCTGCAAATTACTCAATTGGGGTTACACACAACAACATCGTGCCCCCCCCCCCACATTGCTTAAACTTGGCAAGAGCCTTCAAAAAAAGTACTGAGACTCAGTGAGGCTTTCCTGGGTAAACAAGCATAAAAATAACAGAAACAATATTCAATCTTGATTCGAAGCTTTCGTGACTGCAGGAATTCATACTCTTTGGATCTTTTGGAAAAGTCACGTAGATAGAAAATTATTAATAGATCACGACGTTCTATTAATTATTTTCTATCTACGTGACTTTACCGAAAGAACGAAAGAGTATAGAAACAATATTTTTTGTGGCACAAATACCTGTACAGTGACTTCGAGGCAGAGGGCATGGGGTCACCGGTTGGCAAGGGCATGAACGCGTCGTCGCTCAGGCTGAGGCTGCGGTCCCAGTCGGGGCTTAAATCGCGTCTGCTGCCACTGGAGTTGTCGCCGTCACCGTCTCCGTCGCTCGCAGAGGCAGACACTCGCGACGACGAAGACATGGGGGGCGTGACGGGGGAGGAGGAGCTCAGGGGCCAGGGCACGGCAAAGGCAGCCAAGTGGCCGAGACACGCCATAATCTTGTTGCACACGCCTGCCAGCACAGACCAGACTGCCTGCACGGAGACACGAGAGTCAAGCACACAATGACGGCAGTTTTAGTTTTCAATCGTTTTTTTTGTCAGGAGGGTCCTACGATGCCACGTTTAGCCTATTCAAGTTGAAGGAGCGTATTGAATGTGGGAGGAAACCAGGGTATCTTCGGAAGACCTACGCACACTCGGCTAACACTCGGGGGCCTGCAAAGATGGTTGAGTGACCCATGCTGTGTCGGCATCCTTCTGCACTTGGGAAATTCAGAGTTGCCCTCCTTTTACTCGGACATGTCTGCATAAGAAAAACGAGTCATCTGGGTTTTCTGTGGTCTTGTGATACAATGCATGGTTTGAAAAGTACTGTGTGATAAATGATCATATGTGCTTTGTAACTTTATATGGTCATGCTATGTGTTTAATGTCGTGAAAGTGCAACGCTTGTATGTAGTGGAAACGATTTCTCTTGTCGCGGCAGGGTTGAGAGTCGTAGAGGAATGGGATTCTTAGTCTCGGCATATTAAGCATCGTGTTTTTGGACTCACGGTTACTTCGGATAGAGCTCCCCAACTCACAATAAGAATTTAAAACCACTACAAGTTAAAGATAATTAAAAGTGAAGGTGCACAAGTAGAACTAACGAACAAGAGAAGGCGAGGCTACTGAGACACAAAGGAGGAAGTACCACATGTGTGAGCAGAAGTGTGAGAGTAAGCTGGACACACCAACATAGTCCGAAGCTGTTCTTAACTACTATGCAGCGGTCAATGGTGTCAAAGGCAACAGTGCAGTCATGAATAACCAGGCTGGTGTGGAAACTGTGGATAGCAGAAAGGAGGAGGTTGTTGCTGGAGGGCAGTCTCAGTAAAACTATTGAAACTATAAACTATTTTTATTTTACCAGGTAAGGCCCACTGAGCTATGTAGCTCTTTTTCAAAAGCGACCTGGCCACAAATGATAGCTCAACAAAGTGGCTTATCACGTGGAAATTTACAGCAGCCAAATAAATTTTGATTCAAAGCTTTCGTGACTGCAGGGATTCATATTCTTGGTTATTTCGGTAAAGTCACGTAGAAGGAAAACAATAAAATATTAAATATATAAAACAATACAATTCTCACGACGTTTCGACTCCACACCTGTGGTTTTCACACCTGATGATGATTACAAATGCACCGGTGACGTTAGTTGGTGGCGGGAGGTAAGGTTCGTCGACGCTGTGTGTCATGGGGCGGGCCAGGGTGAAACCTGCACGGCGGTGAAGAGATGACACCAGGTGGCTTGGGAGGCCAAGTGGAGGCGACGCTGGCGGGCGGCCCGGCGCATCTCTGGTCGCGCCAACAGCTCTTCCACGGAGGCTCGGCGGCCCGGATCCGGCTCCAGCATTGCCCGTATACTGCTGACCAGATCCTCTGACAGACCTAGTCAGGCCCAAGGGCATAGCGAGTCCCTCAGAAAATTAGAAAACGTTCCGCTTCTGAGTGTGGTCTTCCAGTTTCGGTCACGTGTTCTCTCACGGGCGTGGGCATCTTCACGAGTTGCGTGGCGAAAGGTTGCGTGAAAAAAAAATACTCAACACGCCACAAACACCTTTGATATTCTACTGCATAGGTCATCGCAAGTGTGCTGTTTTCTCCCGGCAGAGAGTCAAACGTCGGACATCATGCAGAGCAACAGACGGGACAGCTCGCAAACACATCAGGCACCGCTCGCAATCGTCTTCACCTCGCTCATCTGCCGAGTGGCAGCGCCACCCATACACCGTTGTGCTGTACCTGCGATGAAGTCATCGGGCAGGAAGCCTTGCCGCAAATGCTGCCAGCCCTCGCCACCGGTGGGTAGCTGCAGGTTACAGGCCACCTCCAACAAAGTCATACCTGCACTGCGCACACAACACCGCCACCAGGGGCAAAGACTCATTTTCACTGGCACGTCTGAGCCGAGCCAGCATGAGACCCTCACGCTATGGGTAAATTTACACTCGCTATTTGCCAAAACAAACCAGAACTAAACTGTGAAACTCTAGCCTCACCGGTGCCAAGCAGGGACAGAGCTAACGACGTGTTCAATGGGTGTGTAAAATCATTCAGCAGACCGCGAGGGCGCAGCGTTACCGCTTCATCTACATGCGCATCGACTCGTTCACTGCGTGCAAAGTCAGCGGCGCGGCTCGGCTTCTGCAGTGGAAAAACAACCTGGTGCCTCCTGAGATGCGCCGGGCCAGCTTGGTACGGTGGAGGCAGGGGCTGATTGTCAAAACGGGGAAATTACAAGTTACACTTTAACTCAGTAAATAAACCAACTGCGTGGTCACCCCGTACTATGAATTCGAACAGCATTAGCAATGAAATGGCATAACACACCACACACGCGATACATCTCCCTTTGCACCCATGGCCCCCCCGCACCGTTCGCGCAGGTGCGCGTCGGATACCTGAAGATGTCGGCCACCTTGCTGAAATGTCCCTGCAGGAGCTCTGGTGCCAGGTACCGGGGGTCTCCCTCCTGTGCTTCGGCGTGGTCACCCTGGCAACGCACAGCGTCGTACCGTAAAACATCACCGCTTTACCCGCACCAGGCGGAATAAACAAAATGTTAGAAAGTAATGTTATGAACCTTTTGTCAAACCTACTTCCAGACCTCTGACCTGCGGGCCTGCCGCCCTCCCCGCCCGCCCACCCCCCCCCGTCCCACCCCCGTCAGCTCCCCTCGGTGCAGTTGCGCTGCCTGCACAGCCACTAAACGATGCCGCCTCCCCCTCACCCGCTGCAGGTCGACGACGAGTCCGAAGTCGCCGAGCTTGTAGCGGCGCGGCGGTGGTGTCGTGCTCAGGAACACGTTGGCCGGCTTCACGTCGAGGTGCACGAGGCCTCCCCGGTGGAGGTGCTGCAGACCCAGCAGGAGGTCCACGGCCACGGCCCACACTTCGCATTCGCTCAGCCGCCCGCCGCACACCTCCTCGCAGTACTGCTGCAGGTTCATCGCGCACAGCTCCGTCTGCGGAGAGGCAGTAAATAAAACGTGATGCGGCTTCGGATGTGTCTCAAGCCGAGTCGACACCTCAGCGACGAGGAAACTCGTTTGCACGCAACGGATCGCTCGGGCGTGGACCTGCTTTTACAATCGGCTGATTGTTGACTTTTGTCGATGATAAGGAATATAAACTAATAGGCAATAACTCCCCAGCACCATGAGAAAAGATGAAATGCCCGAATTTCCTAGTGGGATAAGACTACCAGACTACCACGGCGAGGTGAGTTAAAATACGGAAAAGCATTCTAACCCCGCGTTCAGATTCCACGGGGGTCAGATTATCGCCCAGGGGCAGCACCTGGATGTAGAGGTGCTGCTTTTCCTCCCAGGCGCGCACAAAGCGCACGCAGTTGGGGTGCGGCTCCAGGCGCTCGTGCTTGGCCACCTCCTCCAGCTTGCGCTCACGGTCACGCTCGCCACGGAACGGCTCGCGACACCGCTTCACCGCGTACATGCGGCTGTCCTCCCAGCTGCGCACCTTGAATACTTCCCCGAACGAGCCCAGGCCGATCCGTTCCAGGACCTGGCAGGAACAGAGTGGGTAGGTGGGGGGGCCGGAGAGACCCCCATGGCTATCCGCCAGGCTCAACCACACACGCGCAATAACAGCGGCAGCCACAATTAGCCGCCTAATGCCTCACTTCCACCATGTAACCGAGCAACGATGGGGTCGTGCCGAGCCAGCCTGGCGTGGCTCAGAAAGCACCAGGTTGGTTTTCCACTGCAGAAGCCGAGCCGAGCCGAGCCGTGCCACAAGGTACAGTACATACGAGTCGAGACACGTGTAAATGACACGGTGATCATGTGTCTTCACAATGTACTTACTGACATCGCATGCACGAATACAATACATAATTAGGCCTGCCGCTGGCCCTCCTTGGCCTCAAGCAAGATTCAGATGTCGTGTGAGGACAGCATAGTATGGTTTGCTTCTAGATTGGCTTTTGGAAAATCACCCATACCGTCAACATACTAGGGTGCCTGGTCAAATGCATAAATCACTAACCTGGTTATAAAGTCAACATATATAGTTTTGTTTTCTTTGGTTCTTTCGGTAAAGTCACGTAGAATAAAATAATAAATTGATAAAATAAAATAACACAATAATATTCTCACGACGTTTCGGCCACAACACAAGCGGCCTTCATCAGGTGAAGGGAGCGAGACTGTCTGGTAGGACAGCGCTGGAGTGAGAGAGCCACGTTCAGATCACGGCTTTTAAGCTGTGTGAGAGGAACAAAGAGCCTTGACGAAGGAATTAGCATAAAATTTAGCATTGAAAAGGCTGAATGATTAGCTTGTGACTGGTCACAGAAATAGCTATGTTAAAGTTAAAGCATACACATCCGCAGAGGCACCCATTGTTAAAAGGAATTAGCATAGAATTTAGCATTGAAATAGCTAAATTAAGGCATTCGCTTGTAACTGCTACAGAAATAGTTACGTTGAAGTCAGAGCATACACATTCACCGAGGCACTTAGTACAAATCAAAACAGGAGAATTTAGCATTGAAATAACTAGGCGAATTTAGCATTGAAATAACTGGGTGATTTGCTGGTGACTGGTCACAGAAATGACTACACATCTGAGCTATTCACAGTACTATATAGTGAACCAATAAAAACTAAAATATAAATTACCTTCATGTTATCAATAAACTCTATATTCTCCAATCAGCTAAGCTACCAACCATAAGTCGTTATATATCACAATGCTATATGGCGAACTACCCTTTCTGGATGTCTTAATTAAAAGGAGACATGATGGTTCAATGAGCCACTCTGTCTACAGGAAAGCTACCCATACAGATGCTTACTTGAAACCGGATTCCCACCACCATCCATCCCAGAAGAACTGCCTCATCAAGACTCTATACCATAGAGCCCAATGCATTTCCGACCAGGAACACATTACCAGTGAACTCAAGCACGTACACCAGGCTCTCAGGGCTAATGGCTACTCCGACTACACAATCCGCAAAACCATCACTCCAGTCATGAAGAAGGATCCTCTTGTGGAGCCACTCAAAACCATCACCTTACCCTACATTGCAGAGGTCACTAAAAAGATCTCCAAAATCCTGAATAAACACAAGATCCAGGTCCGATTCAACACAGTACACAAAATCCGTGATTTAGTTCCATCTGTAAAAGATGCTCTTCCAGACATACAGTACCCGGGCGTTTACAAACTAAAGTGCCTCTGTGGTAGTAGCTACATTGGAGAAACCAAAAGACATATCTCGGACCGCATCCGCGAACATAAAGCAGACTTGAAACACGGTAAGACGAACTCCTCTGCCGTGGCAGATCACTGTTACAATTCAGTGGGCTCACATGACATTGACTTCTCCAAGACGGAGGTTCTTTGCAAACCAACTGGCTACCATGAGAGATTCGTTCATGAGGCCATTCACATATACAAGCACAGAGACAATTTCAACCGAGAAGATGGATTCAGGCTTAGTAACCACTGGAAAGATGTGTTAAATCATTTCTGTTCTTAATTAATTGTAATTTTACGATGACCTTCAGACCGCAGCTCTTTCGCCAGCATTGCCTCTTAATACCTCTCACACCACGGTTAATGGTATGGTTTACAACATGGAGTATACTAGGGCTTCGCAGCTGTCTCTCTCCCCCTCCTCTGTTCCGACCATGGACGAACTCGTCCGTCTGAACGGGGCCCGTAGCTATCCGTGGTACGGAAATTTGAGGGTAAGAATCCACCCACTTTTTTCACCATATAGCATTGTGATATATAACGACTTATGGTTGGTAGCTTAGCTGATTGGAGAATATAGAGTTTATTGATAACATGAAGGTAATTTATATTTTAGTTTTTATTGGTTCACGATATAGTACTGTGAATAGCTCAGATGTGTAGTCATTTCTGTGACCAGTCACCAGCAAATCACCCAGTTATTTCAATGCTAAATTCGCCTAGTTATTTCAATGCTAAATTCTCCTGTTTTGATTTGTACTAAGTGCCTCGGTGAATGTGTATGCTCTGACTTCAACGTAACTATTTCTGTAGCAGTTACAAGCGAATGCCTTAATTTAGCTATTTCAATGCTAAATTCTATGCTAATTCCTTTTAACAATGGGTGCCTCTGCGGATGTGTATGCTTTAACTTTAACATAGCTATTTCTGTGACCAGTCACAAGCTAATCATTCAGCCTTTTCAATGCTAAATTTTATGCTAATTCCTTCGTCAAGGCTCTTTGTTCCTCTCACACAGCTTAAAAGCCGTGATCTGAACGTGGCTCTCTCACTCCAGCGCTGTCCTACCAGACAGTCTCGCTCCCTTCACCTGATGAAGGCCGCTTGTGTTGTGGCCGAAACGTCGTGAGAATATTATTGTGTTATTTTATTTTATCAATTTATTATTTTATTCTCATTCTACGTGACTTTACCGAAAGAACCAAAGAAGATGAATCATTGCAGTCACGAAAGCTTTAAATCGAAATATAGTTTTGTTGTTACTATATTCTCTGGGTTATAAAGTACACTTTTTCCACCTGGATTTTTAAGCCAACTTAGGAGGTGCATCCTATAATCTGATAGCGTGTCTTTGAGCAGATTGGAATAACTGTATTCACACTTTCCGGAGCATCTTGCAATATGGAAAGCAGGTTTTGGTTACTGTAATGACTATTCATTTTTTTTTATCTCATTTGGCTTTACAATTGGCAGTGCGGTGCACTGTGACATTCTCCAACCTACGTGCCTTTGCAAAGCAAATAACACCAATGATGATGATGATGACGACGGTGCAACAGCAGTATCGCGATTGGCGAAAACGCACCTCGAAGCACTGCGCAAAGTAGGTGACCTCGCTGCGGCTTTTGTCGTAGATGCGGCTTCGCAGCAGCGAGTTCTCTAAGCTGTGGAACGATACGGAGTGCGGCCGCTGCGAGCTCCAGTGGCGCGGCGCCGTCGTGGCCCCGCCGTCCTCGGAGTCCCCCGTCTTGTTCAAGCAGCGCCGCAGCGTTGACGAGCTCTTCGTGGGCGGTCGCGGCGGCGCCACCGGCGTGTGCCCGAGACGCTTCTCCAGGAACATTCGACGCTCTGCTTCGGCGAAGAACGTCGGCACGGGCAGCGGAGTTTTCTTGCCCGAGTCCTCCATGGTGCTGGATGTCAAAGCGGCGAACAAACGCAGAAGCGAGAGCGGGTGGTGTGGTCGCGATGGTGCGGCGGCGGTGGCAACCTGGGCGCCAATGGAGATGGCCCTCCTCCAGCAGTGGATGGAGACTTACAATGACGAATGCAGCAATAAGGACGATTAGTTGGTGTACAAATCATTAATCTCTGATAAATGCTCCATTTGGTGGGTCTGCAAAATAAGTTGAAGATTTCACGAGAGCACATTGTTAACAATGCACGGCCAAACCCATACGTATAAGTACCACAGTGTACAATTCATGAAGGCATTACGGTATATAATACAAATCCTTGAAAATGCATTGATTAATTTTCATCCATTTATATTTTATTACCCCACCCTTTACAGTAACGGATGGTCCAAAACTTAGTTTACCAATATGACATGTAACTTATAATTCTACTCATCACTTTAACCTTTTGTAGTTTAGGTCACCCTGTACTGCAATCATTGACACATCCCACAACACTTCTCTGGGCACCGTTGTACAACCTTTCTGTGTGCTGCATTCAACTTGCCTGTTACCAAGCGTCTCTGTAACATGCCACGCAAGAGACGAAGGGGATTGAACTCAGTATACTGGCCGTCGTCACCTGCCAGCCCAGACCACACCTGGGAACATAGAGAAGACTGAACTACAAGTCAAATTACCGGCTCAAACTGAGCACTGATGCAGTGGTGCTCATCTGTTTACATTCCTGAGCCAGTGGTGGAATTTACACATTCCGATGGAGGGGACGAGTGCATTCATTGGACAACCACTGTTGACTCCCCCCCCCCCACCCAAAGTGGTCGGTACAGTCAGTAACCGTTATTGAAAAATATCTGTATTACTCTTTGGTTCTTTCGGTGAAGTCACGTAGAAAGAAAACTAAATAAATAATAGAATACGACGTTTCGATTGCAACACAAGCAATCGTCATCAGGTAGAACTAAATTTGAGAGAGAGACAAAACACAGACATGGAGACACACAGACAGACACACAAGCAGAGAGAGACAACACAGAGACACACAGAGAGAGACACACAACATAGACAGAGACCCAATGCCCCTCTCTCTCTATTTAAGGCCACGACACAGAGGCATATTTTTACATGTTTAGAAATAAAACTTAAATCTTAATTTCAGTTTTTTTTATTTTAGCATTTAAAAAAATGTTTTTTAAACATTACTGTCTTACATTTTACATTTTCTAATAGTTGTTTTTCAAATATTGATAATTTGCCTTTTTCAACGGTTTTACTTAACTTGATTCCTGTATCGTGGTCAAATCTTGTAATCAAAATTTAGTCTACTTCTTGTTGTCCAATCAATTCCAAATTTTGCACACGTACTCAGGTCCGGTGACAATGCATGCCTGTATCAAAATCAATTAATCAATTAATTTGCTACTTTAAAGCAATTTTCATTTTGTATGGACGCCTTATTATTTATATATATTTGTGTAGGTTAAAAATGCTGCGGTCCCTAAACTCTCGAATCGCCTGCTCCGTGTGAACCAGTTACGGAAGTAATCAATTAATTCAAGTAAGCGTTGATGTGGAAGCAGACGCTGCATCATTGACGTACTTTTCGACCGTGAGTTAAATGAAGTTGTTTATAAAACCGTTGTTTTTTTAAAACTTTTTAAGGAGTTTATTTATTGTGCAGGGATATTCTATCATGCCACATGGAGTGCATAAATCAATAAGGCTAAGTGGATGCCAGCAAAGCATAGCAAAAGAGGCAAGAATCAAATCACTCAAAACACTTGCTAAATCCATGCTTCAATGTCAAAAGACCGGATGATGGTCAGGGTTCATCAAAAGACACTGCTCGTCAGTCTCCAATTGATAAAGCTGATTCTTATAATGCTAGCATGCATTCTGCAGAACAGCAAGGAGTGGAAATGGTAGAACTAGAAGCAGAAGAGCAAGGAGTGGAAATGTCAGAATTTGAAGCAGAAGAGTAAGGAGTGGAAATGGAAGAATTTGAAGCAGAAGAGAGTGTTGAAAGTGAGATGAGTAATGTTAAGGAGAAATATTTGCAAATTTACGTGATGTTTCTTTCTGGGAGATACCGGTTCCAGATCATTTTCTGGGTGAAATCATAAAAAGGGGAAGTGTTTCTTTCCAGAAGGCAAGGCAAGATGCACAAGCAAAGATGTGCGCCAGCTTTAAAAGAGTGGTTTTACAAGGTGATGCCAAATGGCGAGAAAATTCTGCAGTCATGGATGGTTTACTCACTTTTCAGCAAGAATTGATACTGTTTTGCTGCCGACTATTTGTCGTTAGTGCTACAGATACATCCAACTCCGTGACTGGGTTTCAGAAGTGGTGGAAAACTGAGCCCGAACGTGCATAACCATGAGAGATCCGAAGAGCACCTGCGTTGGCTTGAAAAGTGGAAAACATTGGCAGCAGGACTGAGGATGCACAAAACCATTAATGCCGAAACTATTGCTTTAATGGAAATGGAGAAGAAAAAGTGGAGGGACATCTTGCACAGATTGCCAAGCAGAATCTGGCATTCCGTGGCCACAAGGAAGATTAATCTTTATTGCATAAAGGGAACCTTCTTGAGATGGTGGAGATGCTTTAAAAATATGATCCAGTCCTAAAGAGCACCTAATGAGATTAAAGCGGAGCGCATGCAAACTTAAACTATCAGTCTCTTATCTTGCACCAAAAACTCAGAATGACTTTATAAGTGCCCTGGCAAACCATGTGAAGGAGAAGCTTGTCATGGACATAGAGTCTGAGAAGTACTTTGGGATCATGTTCGACAGCACACCGGACATATGACCAGATGTTCGAAGTGATCAGATATGTAAACATCAACAATAGGAAAGTTGAAGTGAAAGAAGTATTTCTAGGATTTTTCCCTTTAAAGGGGAAAAAGCTGCTGACCTCAATTCTGACATTCTTAAAAAAACTGGAATGTGATGGACTGGACATAATGGACAGGACATAATGATGTGCCGCGCTCAAGGTTACGATAAGGCTGCCACTATGGCTGGAATCCATGGAAGTGTACAAGCCATTCTTAGGGGAAAGAACAAGAAAGCAATTTTTAATGGATGCGTGGACCATTCGTTTAACTTGTGCGGTCAGCACTCTTTTGCTGAAAATGCATCGTGTGTGACATTTTTTGGAATTCTTGAGACAATGTTTTATTTCTATGCTGCTTCCACCCATTGATGGGATGTGTTCATTGACCGTACTGGAGTGTCAGTGAAAAGGCTATCAACAACACAATGGAGTGCTCATCATGCTGCAGTTAAGCCAGTTAAAGAAAAGTTCGATAAGTTTGTGGCGGCGATTCAAGCTCTTTGTGATCCACATGAAAATTTGGACATGAGAGGAGCAGCACAAAGTCTTTTGCCTGCTGTCTGTGATTTAACTTTTCTGTGCTACCTGTACTTCTGGTGTGATGTACTTGAGAACGTTAATCTTCCACAGCAGTACCTGCAGACTAAGGGCTTAACTCTCGACACGGTCGTCACAAAGCTCGAGGCGCTAAGACTTTTTCTGCACGAGCAGCGCAGTCACCTCGTGGAGCATGCAGTTGAGCAGGCGCTTTTAAAATCAGACGAATATGGAATTGCAGTAGAGAAAAGAGCCAGGTTCAAGAAGAGGATGGCAGGGGAGCAAGCAAGCGATGCTGGACTCACTCTGCAAGAAGAAAATAACAGGGTGATGCTTGAGTGCATTGATCTCTTTCATTCTGAACTCCAGATCAGATCAAGAGCCATCAAGGAAGTAGCAGCCACGTTTGAGGCTGTTCAAGCAAAGAGCCGCATATCTGCCACTGAAGAAGAGTTAAAGGAGTCCATTCCAAAATTGACCAATTTCTATGATGAGGTATTCGAGAGTGAGCTTTTAATAGAAATACCAAGGCTGAGAAGGCACCTGAAAGCAGCAGAGAATGATCTGGAAGCCAAAGATTGGGCAAAATTAGACGTTTTGACATTCATAGCTAAATGGGACTTCATAGAATCTCTCCCAACCCTTTCACTAAGCCTAAAAAAATTTCTGACGATCTGTGTAACTGTGGCTTCATGTGAGAGGAGCTTTTCAAAGCTGAAACTTATAAATAACTATTTGCAATCTACCATGGGACAGTCAAGGCTTTCCGATATTGCGATATTATCAATTGAAAGTGAGTTGGCGAAAGGCATTGATTTCGATGTAGTTCGCAGCTTTGAAGATCAGGAAAGGAAAGTTCTGATTGAGTTGAGATGTTCACTAATTGCTGAAATGCTCGTGTATTTGTTCCTGTTTATTGTTTTGGTATTATTTCATTTATGAGTATATTTCCATATGCATTTGTCTACAACTTCTACATTATTTGGGCTGTTATTGATTATGCAAACCTAATCCATTAATGTATCTCATGTAACGGTAAAGGTTTATGTTAAAATGAACATAATTTTGATGTAGTTCTTAAACGTTTGTACTCGAATTCTATTGTTTTCTAACCGAATTTTCACTTTAACCACATAAAACTATGTAAATACATTTAGGCTGTGCGTATGATATTATAATTTAAAGGTGTAATTTTAATTTTGCTAGTTGTTTATGTCATTACTATTGCCATTACGTTCTGTGATATACGGGAATTACGATTTACGAGTAATATTAGTACAAAAAAACATTACTAAGGATTCTGTATGGTCTGGTACGGGAGGAGGTCCATGGGGGGTGACAGCAACCCTAGTGATGCCACTGAGTAGCCACTCTGTGTGTGTAATCGTGTAACTGTGTGTAGTGACAGTAGTATTGACTGTGTGTAGTGACAGTAGTATTGACTGTGTGTAGTGACAATAGTATTGACTGTGTGTAGTGACAGTAGTATTGACTGTGTGTAGTGACAGTAGTATTGACTGTGTGTAGTGACAGCAGTATTGACTGTGTGTAGTGACAGTAGTATTGACTGTGTGTAGTGACAGCAGTATTGACTGTGTGTAGTGACAGTAGTATTCACTGTGTGTAGTGACAGTAGTATTGACTGTGTGTAGTGATAGTAGTATTCACTGTGTGTAGTGACAGTAGTATTCACTGTGTGTAGTGACAATAGTATTGACTGTGTGTAGTGACAGCAGTATTCACTGTGTGTAGTGACAATAGTATTCACTGTGTGTAGTGACAGTAGTATTGACTGTGTGTAGTGACAGTAGTATTGACTGTGTGTAGTGACAGTAGTATTGATTGTGTGTAGTGACAATAGTATTCACTGTGTGTAGTGACAATAGTATTCACTGTGTGTAGTGACAGTAGTATTCACTGTGTGTAGTGACAGTAGTATTGACTGTGTGTAGTGACAATAGTATTCACTGTGTGTAGTGATAGTAGTATTCACTGTGTGTAGTGACAATAGTATTCACTGTGTGTAGTGACAATAGTATTCACTGTGTGTAGTGACAGTATTATTCACTGTGTGTAGTGACAGTAGTATTCACTGTGTGTAGTGACAGCAGTATTCACTGTGTGTAGTGACAGTAGTATTCACTGTGTGTAGTGATAGTAGTATTCACTGTGTGTAGTGACAGTAGTATTCACTGTGTGTAGTGATAGTAGTATTCACTGTGTGTAGTGACAATAGTATTCACTGTGTGTAGTGATAGTAGTATTCACTGTGTGTAGTGACAATAGTATTCACTGTGTGTAGTGATAGTAGTATTCACTGTGTGTAGTGACAATAGTATTGACTGTGTGTAGTGACAATAGTATGCACTGTGTGTAGTGACAATAGTATTCACTGTGTGTAGTGACAATAGTATTCACTGTGTGTAGTGATAGTAGTATTCACTGTGTGTAGTGATAGTAGTATTGACTGTGTGTAGTGACAGTAGTATTGACTGTGTGTAGTGATAGTAGTATTCACTGTGTGTAGTGACAGTAGTATTGACTGTGTGTAGTGACAGTAGTATTGACTGTGTGTAGTGATAGTAGTATTCACTGTGTGTAGTGACAGTAGTATTCACTGTGCGTACTGACAGTAGTATTGACTGTGTGTAGTGACAGTAGTATTGACTGTGTATAGTGACAATAGTATTCACTATGTGTAGTGACAGTAGTATTGACTGTGTGTAGTGACAGTAGTATTGACTGTGTGTAGTGACAATAGTATTCACTGTGTGTAGTGACAGTAGTATTCACTGTGTGTGGTGATAGTAGCCATTGTGTGTAGTGACAGTAGTCAGTGTGTAATAATGAAGCTGTGTGTAGTAGTAGTCACTGTGTGTAGTATTCACTGTGTAGTAGTATTCACTGTGTGTAGTATTAATATTATTCACTGTGTTGTATTAGTAGTATTCAATGTGTAGTAGTATTCACTGTGTAGTATTAGTCGTAGTATTCACTGTGTAGTATTCACTGTGTATAGTATTAGTAGTAGTATTCACTGTGTGTAGTATTATTATTCACTGTGTGTAGTATTAGTAGTATTCACTGTGTAGTATTATTCCGTGTGTCGTATTAGTAGTAGTATTCACCGTGTAGTAGTAGTATTCACCGTGTAGTAGTAGTATTCACTGTGCAGTATTAGTATTCACTGTATGTGTAGTATTCACTGTATAGTAGTAGTATTCACTGTGTAGTAGTAGTATTCACTGTGTGTAGTATTAGTCGTGGTATTCACTCACTGCGTGTACGTTGAAAGTACCGGACCGTCGCTGAGGGGAATCTTCAGTTCCCGCGCTCCGCGAGCCCCGCCCCTTCCGGCGCCATGACGTCACGTCCCCCATATCGCGAGCCCCGCCTCTTCCGCCTGCGCCGTCATTGTCACGGGAAGTGACGTCGCTCGCAAGGCCCGCGCCCGTTCTTGCCTGGCTCCCCTTTCTCTTCGGAGCGGCGCAGATTTATAAAAAAAAATTCAATTATATTCTAAACATGTCGCTGGAGACAGTACCGAAGGATCTTAGGCAGCTGCGGGCGTGCTTGTTGTGCTCGCTGGTGAAGGTAATGAAGTGTGCGCGCCTGTATATACACTGTGTTTTGTGTGTGTGTATACGCTGTGTGTATACGATGTGTTGTGTGTGTATATACGCTGTGGTGTGTGTGTATATACGATGTATTGTGTGTGTATATACGCTGTGGTGTGTATATATATACACACGCTGTGTTGTGTGTGTGTATATACACGCTGTGTGTATGTACGCTGTGTGTGCGTATATATACGCTGGGGAGCGGTAGTGTAGCGCTACACTACCGGCTACCCGAGTTCTCGCGGCCACCAACACCAGTGACGATTATCTGAATCGGTCCTGGGCCTCCCCTAGGTCGACTCGCGACTCGGCCTCAGATGAGTAGCTAATGCGGTGTGTAAGCGTCGCCACACGGGAGACAAAGGCGGTCGGGCGTGGTGCTGGCCACCCACCCCCTCGTGTGCCGGGCCGGCCTTCATAGGTGCTACTCGCTAACAGCCATTTTCAAGTCTCTTAACGTTATACGGGGATCTTTGTGTGTATACAAGATAAGGAGCGGTGGCGCAGTGGTTTGCCGCGGCTTCGTCGCGAACTAAACCAGCTGGCTTCGGTTTCCTGTCGCGGCTTATACAACAGTGGCGAGTGATATCTGGACTGGTCCTGTCACCCCCTCATCGCCAACCCGCATTTACCGGTCTGGTGAAGTATGGTCAAACATCTTCGCATTATCGACGCGGCGTGGGGAGATTCTCACCCACGAGTGGATTGGCAAAAATCAGAATTTGAATATTTATACTGGAGGAATCCGATAAACTATAAAACTTTTATTCACAGACGTCCAGTAGCTTTTGAGAATAGGTTTTCCCCCTTTTTATGGCAACAAAACAGGTGTTAAGATGTTAAAACACCAAACTGAAACCTTTTACAAGGAATCATGTCTGCATGAACCACAATACTTGTGGTCAGAATGCAAATAAAAAACAAACTTATAATATATGCATTTTTGATTTAAAGCTTTCGTGACTGCAGTGATTCATATTCTTGGTTCTTTCGGTAAAGTCACGTTGAAGGGAGACAATAAAATAAATGAAAAATATTTTATTATATATGTTTTACATATTTATTATTTTATTGTTTCCCTTCAACGTGACTTTACCGAAAGAACCAAGAATATAATATATGCATTGTCTTTGAAACTGATTGGTCCACACCAGAGACAGCTTTCTTTTGAGCCTCTTCTCAAACGGTGTTTGTCCAGAGGACGCCAAAAGGCCGTTTGAGACTAGGCTCGAAAGAAAGCTGTCTCTGGTGTGGACCAATCAGTTTCAAAGACAATGCATATATTATCAGTGTGTTCATTGTTTGCATTCTGACCACAAGCATTGTGGTTAATGCACACATGATTTCTTGTAAATGCTTTCATTTTGGTGTTTTAACATCTTAGCACCTAAAATATTAGCACGTTTTGTTGCCAGAAAAAAAGGGGAAAACCTATTCTCATATTTTGGTACTTGCAAAGGAGGTCCCATGATGTAGTTTTCAGTGTTAACACTTTTGATTGCATGACAGTTGATACCCTCTATATCTGAGTGCAACAGCCGCAATTCGCCAGAGGTTCACGGTTCAAACCCAGCAGATCGTCCTGGTTATTACTGAAAATCACGCTAAAAGAATCGACACTTACGTGGGAATCACTGATTGTGTCAGGCTGGACGTGCTCGCTGGCAGTGTGTACAGCGGAAAAGAGAAATACCGTAACACTGACAAATGTGTGTTGTTTTTCTTTGTTGAGCCAACGCAACAGCAGCAGCAGCCTCTCCAAATGATCGGTGTAACAATTGGCTCCCCATTGCTGATTTGTAACCTCAAGGTATGCGGTCGTGTGATGTTGTATTGTCGTGTCCACGTAGACCATTGACAAGTTCGAGTACGACGGTTGCGACAACTGCGACACGTACCTGCAGCTGAAGGGGAACCGCGAGGCCGTCTACGACTGCACGAGTTCGTCGTTTGACGGGTGAGGGACTCCCTCGGGGCCTTTTCAACAACATCCAGAGTCCAGCACCCGATCGCCGATCTCACTGGTGGAACCTCCGGGGTTTAATCTCTTGCCTCAAAAACAACGGTCCGCAATTAAATCGAATCCACACGTCTAGTATGTATGTTGAAATTCTTTCGCACCGTTCGCAGCCAACCGTGCTAATCGGAGGTGCGGGGGAAGGACAACAAACTAAATACAAAGCAATTCTAAGGAAATTAGTTTGTCAGTCTATATTTAAAAGTGTATAGCTCCAGTAGCTTCCTAATATTGAAAGGAAGAGCGTTCCAGACGGGCGCATCTGAACGCGCGTGGTGCAGGGACCGTCTTCTCAGCAGATCCACCCTCCACGGCATTCACAAGTGGAGACTCAGAGCCCGGCATGCGATTGCTAAAAATACTGACCGGACCATCGACCACACAAGAGTGACTGGGTGTGAACTCCCAACGATTCAATCGAGTCATGAAAGCAATCCACCGCACATTAACTGAAGTCATATCCTGGACAAATAATCTGGAAATGCACTTAAACGTTGCCATATGCAAGATTTCCAATAATTGTCTGTTTCCTGCAGTTTTAACCCGATATCTCGAGTGGTAGGGAGGAGGACAACGTGCACTCCTGATGTTAACCACACTGCACCGGGGTGAAGCATCATAGCGCATTCGCCGCTTTGTGCAGAGGTTCACGGTTCAAACCCAGCAGACCGTTCTGGTTATTACTGCAGGTGTATTAACCGTAAAATGTAATATAGCCATTAAAAAAAAAGTCAAATCATGCTGAAAGCATTTACAAAATATTACGCCATCTGCTCCGCAACGGATGTTAAGGATGGTGTGCCTACATCATGGTCTAAATTGGAAAAGTTATACCGCAAATCACTCATTGGGATTCCATATAGCACCATGCCACCTGCCATTAAACTACTTGTAGACCGTCTGTGAAATACAACTGTGCCTTCGTGATGGTAGCCTTGTACTATAAAAATGGCGTGTATACCAAGTGTACGACATTATCAATTATCATTTGAAATTGGGTTAACTTAGAGGAAGTTATGCCGAGGTTTGAATGTTGTCAGGAGTTGTGTGTGGCGAGGAATCAAACCCTGGTGGCAGAGATTGTAGTGGAGTGCGTAATTTTTCAGTGCGTAAACACTGCCTCTACGCACAATACTATGAAATAGGTCTGGCAGGTCACAGGATAGACTCAGGCGTTGTGGGCTAACAACCTGTGACTGATGTCTCACTCGCACTCCCCACTTAGACTCATTGTGCATTAGCTGCATTACACACCCTGCTCTTTGTATGTAGCACTCGCGTGCCTCAACCCACAGATGCAAAACATGTGCTGATGTTCTCATTAAAAAAAATTGTTTGCCTTTACAGAGTCATTTGCATGATGAGCCCTAAAGACAGCTGGGTGGCCAAGTGGCAGAGGGTTGGTGAGTGCTTCCATTAATTTCTTCATTCAGCTTGAGCCTCACCTCGGTCTTAGAAAGTACAGCGTGGAAATGTTCACCAAGGATATTCATCCCACTGGAAACTTTGGTCAACAATGGCCGAACTATGTTTAACATTTGTCATGGAGTTTAGGTATGATCCTTGTTTCCAAGAATGGCTGCACAAAATATTTTGACATGATGTCAAACCCCCTCCCCCCCCCCCTCAAGTTGCCGTTTTATCTTTAAACAACAGGCAGTGGCCTTAGCCACATGAGATACAGTTGCTATGAGATTCCTGTTTCTCAAGTGACGGTTAAACCAATATCTTTTTGTGCAGTCATCTGTGACTGGGCTAAGATGCATCAGATTCCGGCACTTAAGAACCGCATTAATCCTGGGTGGCTGCCTGGATTCAAACCCAGGATCTCGGCAGCTCATTACTCTTGACGCCTAAAGGCACCCCGCCACCCCAAGTTTGACTGTTTCAAACAGAAATAATGCTCCTGATAAAAGTATTCGGAGTCAGATCGCGTAGTAACGAATTGTCAGGTTCTGTTCTCGTGACAATCCTTGCTAACTGGCCGCGTTGGGTGGAGGTGGGTGTACGAAACATTAATGTGCTCCAACCCAAAAAACGTCCTCAGGAATAATATTGGTGGCAGAAGCCTTGTGACGTCTGAGCGTACATTGTTGGTAGTTTAACCCTCATCCATCCTTTATGTAAAGTGACTGCATCAAACTATGTCCCACTACACTCCCTCCACCAATCATGTCTCCACTCACAACTGTGTCCCTCTTGTATAACATCATTAGATACAGTTGCAATTCATCGCGATATGAATTTAAACTCTACCACTGCGTAGTTTTTTTGCGGTCGTGCTGCTGCTGCGTAGCTCTCCGTTTTCTCGCGCCACGTGCTGTTCGGCACGATGTCTGACGTTTTGCTCCACGAGCTGGCAACTGCTTCAGGAACAATGTTGAACAACCTCCCAGCACGTGGAGCAACAGAAATACCGCCCCGAGTGTCCAACTGTATTGTGTTACTGCCCACAGACAACTTCAAGCCGGGCGTTTACGCCATTTCCGTGACGGGGCGCCTCCCTCTCTGTAAGCCTCTCATGCATTCATATTTGTGCCGCTTTTAAAGTTGATTTACGGGCAATTGTATTTCTTTGAAATATCCTTTAGGTTCATTATCTGCACTCAAGTCGTGTAGAGCTAAATCCACTGCTGGATGAGGGCCTTCCCATACAGGCACGTGGTGGATATTTGACCATACTTTACCACGTTGGTTAGTGCTAGTAGATCAAGGTGTGGATCATATGCATGGGAGCATATGCATGGGAGCATAGACGTACATTTTGCTACACATTTAGCTACATTGCCCTCTGCTGTCCACCACATAGCACCGCGAGATAACCACCTTGCGACGATTGTGGTGACGTAATCGCACTTAACCAAATAACTTGTCCATTGGGCACGCGTTCCAGATAACTATGACAGACTCCCTTTAAAAGAGCCTAGAGCATAATAACAATGCCATGTCTTCCTGGCATGTCGAGGGGAAGCATTTCAATCCCACAAATTACAAAAGGTCAATCGGTATCTGCATGTAATATATATTTTAACTGATCATATCGTTTTAGTACATGCATTATACTTTCCATTTTACTCTGCTGGCGTCTGTAGAATTTAATTTGTTCACATGTGGATGATGTTTATCCTGGCTATACAGACACTTCGCAAGGATTAAGTATGTGTGTGTAAACACAGCTGATTGACGGACACACAGGCTCAAGTGGAGCCTCAAAGGCTGGAGGAGAGGTTCAGTGGTCAACGCACCTCACTATGAACCTGGCAACCCGAGTACAATTCCTAGTTACGGCTAACATCACATGCAAGTGACATCCTGCACCTCCGATTAGCACTACTGTGTGAAAGAAGTTGTACGTATGTAGAACTTCTTCTGCACCGTACGTCCCAACCGTGCTAATCGGAGGTGCTGTACTTTTTAATAATGCCAAATATCAAAGTTCAACATACATCTGAACCAGTTCTGGGTCCCTCCCCTTCAGCAATCCATATTTATCAATGTGGTGAAGTATGGCTGTAAATTATTTGGAGCCTAAGGCACTCCATTGGTAGCAGTTTACAATGAAAATAACCAAAGGCAGTTGCTGTTTCCCCACAAAGTAAATATACACGTCAGCTAACATGTCACATTCTCATTTCATCTTTTCCTACCGACAGCAATTGTGCGGGAGCTAAAGAGCCGAGGGATCGTGTACAGGTCCCGCGACACCTCCACCAAGGCTTAAGTGCCGTGCCGATGGTCGACAATGCCACAGCCAACTCGCAGCAAGACCCCATTATCTTCGGTCTTTACCTCCCTCACCAATAACATCCGGATCACGCTGTTGAACGACACCCGTGTCTTTTAAGGGACTCGTGATGCAGCCACGCGTGCATTGGTTTCGTACACTCATCAAATGTGGTTAACGAGCTTGGTGTCATGGCCCAACCATCGTGTGTAGATTCTACGCGACTCGGAGTAGCGATGACAAGCTTGAGGTAGAAATTGTACGCAAGACAACGCAGTTTTTTTTTGCCGGTTAACAGCATCGTTCTTTTATTCGTGAGATTTTTGTGTATTCATCAGGTTGTGTAACCGGCGTTAATAAAAGTATCTTTTCAAAACCATTACATGGCTGTCACTTTAAATTTTAAATGTAAAAATGCAGCTTTTAAAAGTATATAACTACAGATTCACTGGAAAACATTGTTTCACACTATTCTAACCCAAACCCACACTTCAGAAACAGGGGTTTAGCTTTTTCTGTCCATGGCCTCGTGTGTCGACAGCTGTACATTTATGCACTGGGATGAGATTTTTTAAAATTAATTCCAGGTGCATCTCCTCCACAATCTTTACCGATGGATGTTGAGAACCATGTTTCCACCTGTACATTATGATGAGTACTGAATCGTACACCATTCAGATGGGTCTCCTTGGCACTCATTTGACTTTGCTTGACTCTTTAAAAAGCCCGTGGGTGTGATTTTATGCCGCTATCCCACACTTATTTGTCACAAAACTCTCAACGTGATTGTGAAGAGAACACAGCAATAAAGGCAAAGGTGGAGCCCCGCAACCGCTTGCCCATGCCACTGCTGGCAGAAGGGCCTTCGCTCGAGGGAGCTCTAGGGGGTATTTTGCCTACTCTACCATGCTGATCAAGCATATTGGAGCAGTGGGAGTACCCACACTTTACCCAACCATAAGTGACCTGCCGATCGACTTATCCAATTTTTACTCCTGGGTGGAGAGAGACATTGGGGGGTGGGGAGGGATTTAATAAATTTGCGCCATTGGTTCAACTGCCGTGCCAAGAGATGGAATCGAACCGGTGACCTCTGGATTTTGGGTCTTGGTGTGCTGACCATTACACCACCTTTGGCAGCTCCCTCATCACACCCTAATGAGGTGCACGGTGGGGGAGTGGTGGTGCAGTGATTAACGCACTGTGGCATGGATTTGATTCCCGACCACGGCTAACATCAGTGGTTATCTCAACCAGTCCTACCACCCACCCTTCCTCACCTTAACTAACATGCACTGACCAGCGTGTTGAAAGTACGATCAAACAACCCTCAAGACCGACACGGTGTGAGGAGGCCTTCCTCCAGCAGTGGATAGACAATGGAGCTGTAAAGCGAGAAAGGATCGAGACGTAAGCAGCAGCGGCGCCCCACGCCTCACAGTTTGCTCTTCACGTCCGCCGCCTCGCCCATCACCAGCTGAGTATCCCTGGCGACGTCGTCGTAGCAACCGCGTCCCTCGGCGGTGAGCACCGGCGTCAGGTCCTGCTCGCACCACCTGCCAAGAGCCGAGGATTCCCCATGGTTACCGTGCCGCACATCTGTGCCAATGCTCCCCGCCTCCGCCAACCCGCACCGACTCGCGTGGGTGAAGTATTGTCAAACAACCCGCGTGGCCAGCGCAACGTTGGGGCCATCATCCAGCAGTGGATTAACAAGAGGGGGCGGTGTGTGTACAGCTGCTGCGTATGTTGCAGGGGGTGCCGATACGAATGCGGATGTATGTTGAACTTCTTTAGCACCGTACGATTACAATGCTCCCGCAAACTTGGGCTAGAACAATGCCCTCCCCCAACTCTTGGGTACTCTTTGTTTTGTTAATTGTTTTTTGTTCAGCAATCCAAACATGAACATGTTTTGAATATCAACAGCATAAAATGTTTATTATTTGCATAAACTAAAAACGATTATTGGGTAAGCGATTTCATAAATGTAGTGTTGGCATCAAAAAGAGATTTTCATCGATGCGTCGTTCGGACCCAGCTACCAATACAGCCGGTGCTGCCGATGACAACGCTGCTGCTGCAGCTCATGACAGAGACCCCATGCTGCGAACGACGATGCTGCTGTGAGCAATGATCTTCATAACCGTGACCATAATCCTGCTTCTGATGAGAGGACCATGGTGACGATGTAACTGACGCCCGACGTTTGAGAAGCGGCCATTGACCTGTTTGCTGCATAGACGTCAGCTGGCTCGGCACCATCCCAGAGCGCATGGTCGATCAGCAGACACCCTGCAATGAGAGCGTGGATTTGGGTCGGCGTCGGACCGAGACTCGGGGGTCAGGGTCACGGTCAGTGTGCGAACTGAGCAAGTAAAACAATCCTGACCTATGAGCAGTTGATTAACAAAGGGCTAAACGTGTTGATGATTATTTAAATGTACTTTATTAGTATTCTACCTGCCCATTTATCATTTAAACTGTAAAGGATGTGGTTGTCTTTGGCGCAACACTTTATTTCAGTAACTCAACAACATAACACAACCTACACTTGAGTGTTGAATGCCCATCTAGCCACGCTACAGCAGAACTGGACACGGTTCGCTCTCCCGGCCCGGACCACAAGCTGGGTCCCGGACCGCGTGGCTAGAGGCTTCTTTTACCCGACGTGGATCTTCATCACCAGCAACACGAAGAACCCCGAGCCCCTCACGGGGCCCCCGTTATATCGGCTTGGGCTGGGGCTGGCTCCGTCTCTCGCACCGCCCACCTTCTAGATCTCTCGAGCTCTTTCCCGAAGGCTCCCGAGAGCTCCTCTATACCACGTGACCTCCCAGCGGCCCCCATCCACCGGTGGCCCCCCTCCAATATCATCCAGTCACGTGTCGGCAGATCAACCAGCGTATCATGCCCCAACGTAACCCTGGCTGGCTGACGCTCCCTCTCGCTCCCTCACCGGAAGCCCGCACGGCACACCGCTCGCGGTGCCTCCGCGCTAACCAGCGCTCACCCAGGCCCCGCTAGGGCTGGTGGTACTACGCCCAGTAAGCGGGCTACACATAATGCCAACACATTATCCGCCGTGGCTTCGTAAGCCCGGCACCACACAGTGACATACACACTTCATTACACACGTAAGTGCTTGCCACAAATTAACCACAATACCTTGCTGATCTCGTCAAGGAGCATAACCATCACAAACTCCGGTCATCCTCGCAGCGGCTTTCAGTTAAAGCATCAAACAAAGACGGTCACTGCATCGCGCGCTTTCAGATGCGCTTCTGCGGCCGTCTGGAATATTTTTCCGATATTAGGAAGCCATTGGAGCTATGCACTTTTAAATCTTGATTGAAAACTTTTCTTTAGAGTTGCTTATGTGTTTAGTTTGTTGGCCTTCCCCCGCACTGCCGATTAGCAAGGTTGGCTACGTAAGGTGCGAAATAAGTTCAACATACATGTATTTAAGAGCCATTCTTTTTCCACCGGGACAAAATCTCACTTTTCAAAGAAGTTGTAGGACCCTTTGACAGCCGTTATGAAACTGGGTCCTGTCCCATCCCGGCCAGACCAGGACGTTTGGTAGCCTGACAATGCGCCTCTTCATTTCTACGCGACGGGATATTTTGCGGATGGGCGATGGGGGCGAGTGGGTGGGTGAGCTAGCCGGCGAGACGAACAGCAGCAGTAGTAGAGCAGTCGCATCCCGTTTGCACACCTGCGTAGGTCCGGGCGAGGCTGTAGGCGAAATCCCGCGCGGCCGTCTCCGTGAAGGAGGAACCCCGCGTGGCGGCGCGCCCCGCGAAGCCGCCGACGCCCCGCGCTGCCCGCAGCACCTCCTCGGCCGCCCCCGCCAGCCCCGCCGAGCCCTCCGCCGCCCGCATGCGGGTCTGCGGGAGGTGACGGCGATGCGCTGAAGCCACGCGCACGTGGGGCACGTGGGGCAGCTGGGGTGCTGTCGTAGCCAAAGCCACGGCGAGCGGTAACACTGACCAGGGCTTCATTTATCACTGAAGAGTTTCGGGATCGTTGGTAGAGTGGAATAGGTGGCAACAGCCATAGCGAGAAGCATTAACTGGGCGGCGGTGGCTGCGCACGCGGCTGCCTTTGGTCCAGCACCGAGGGTTGGTGGATCACACGCGAATGTTTTGCGAAACTCTTTTTTACGTGGGCATCGAGGAGGAAGCAGACCCTGGCTTTCCAAAAGCCGGTACAGGAAAAATGTGGAGTCTACCTGTTCTGTCTGTATGGGATAGTGCGTTTCACTCTTGGGTGTTCCAGCCTCCCACATGCAAACACTATATAATTGGTTGATAACACCTTCATATTTAGAGAACCGCAGTGCTTGGGCAATTGTTGGCGCTGGCTCGTCGCGTGGCTGCCTTCCTCCTCCAGCCTCCGAGTCGTTCTCCGCTCTTTAAGTGAGCGAGCAGATATTGTGCGACAGCGACATGCTACGAGATTAAATGATTATTAATATTATACGTACTGGATGTGGTGTGCCGGGTGCAGAAATATAGCGGCCTGGCTGAGATTGAGCCCTGGGTGTCATAAACAGTGGTCGAGTTCACTCATTTGCCGATTCGACTTCAAACTCGGAACTCGGTGCATGGCCATGTCTGGCTCAGTGCGAGGTTCATCGTTGGCTGTGTCGCAGTCAAAATCGCAGTCGTGGGCCGACCTGGACGTCCGAGCAGAAGGCCTGCAGGACCTCCCCGCGGCTCTTGGCCATCGAGCGCAGCACGTCGAGTGACAGGATGTTGGTGGTTCCCTCCCAGATGCTCAGCACCTGCGGCCTCACATGCACACAAAGATCCCCCCCTATAGCTTTAACAGACTTGTGGGGCAAGTGCTGTTAGCGAGCACTTATGAAGGCTGGCACGGCACAAGAGTGGGTGGGAGGCCAGCACCACGCCCTGCCGCCTTTGTGTTCCGAGTAGTTATGTTTACACACCACACCAGGTATTAATTTGAGGTCGAGTTGGCCTAGGGGAGGCCCAAGACTGGTTCAGATAATCATCGCTGGTGTTGGTGGCCGTGAATGGGAATCGAACTCGGGTTACTGGGTTTGTAGTACAGCGTGCTAACCAACAACAATCGCCCTTCACCACTAATCGGTGGTGACGTCACTACAGCGCTTGTGCCATGCTAGGTGCACTTTGAGGTCACGTGAAGTGTCAAAGGCCCACTGGCAGGAGGTCACGGAACAGACCCAGGTGCCATGGGTTGACCGAATGAGATGACTGGCAGATCAATTAAAACCTAAGCTAAACTTTTTATTTGACTAGGTAAGGCCCACTGAGCTATACAACTCTTTCAGAAGCGATTTGGCCACAAATAATATCTCAACGAAGTGGTTTATCAAGTGTAAATGTATAG